AAAGAAAAATAAATGAAAAGAGAAATCTAGAAGTACTCTATTAATAACAAGAATATTTTTTGTACAGGATTATTTTCACAGTTGCCTAATTTCTGTTTGGAAAAGTAACATGTATGTACCAGCACCTAAGAGAATAGTTTTTCCTTTCACAGTGTTTTAAAAGAAAGTTTCTAACAGCATTTTTTCCCAAATGATAGTAAAGTACCAGCAAGCCATGTTTTTCTTTCATGTATACTGAAAGCTTTCTATTTAATTTTGAATAATTTATGTAAGTAATTCAGGGTTTATTCGTGTTACACAGTTTAGGCTAAATCACTTTAAAGACATTCTGTCATGAATTTTGCCACTCGAAGATTTTCTAAAATTTTAATGACTTTCAAATGGGCAATATGTTTATAAACCCACAGATTTAGCCACTTTTATGCCTCTCCTTTCCCAATACATACAATGCCATTACTCTGAAAAATGAGCTGACAGAAACGTCGTGAAGTTCAAGTCCCTTACTTAGACCAGAATAACCCCATGCAGCAGGACAAGCTCTGTGCAGGCTGGGTTGCAAAGCAGATTTGCAGAAATCGACCTGCTGCTCCATTTAACAGCTAATTAGGCGTGAATCAGAGCCATGCCCTTGCAGCAAGGGAAGCCAGCTGCACACTGGGCAAGAGCGTGGCCTGCAGAGTGAGGAATGTCACTGTTCACCTCTACTCTGCACTCGCCAGATAACACCTGGAACACCACCTCACTTGGGGCTTTCCCAGCAGGGCAGAGACATGGATGGATTTGCACGAGAGCACCAAGTGGCTGCTGTGATGGTCAGGGGATGGAGGGAGGACAGGACACGGCGGGAGTGGCTGAAAGGACAGCACTTGTTGAGCCTGAAGAGAAAGCAAAGGGAAAAGCCCATTGCTCTTGACAACTAGATAACAGGAGGCACTGAGAAACTGGAGTCAGCCTTGTTTCAGAGGTGCAGAGGAAGAAGAGAAGACAATGGACACGTGTTTCAATGTGGAAGATTCCAAGCCAGAGGAAGTATAAAAAATGTGATAAGGAAAACGATCAAAACACTTGAACAGAGGTGTTGCAGAACATCCATCCCTGGAGACAGTCAAAACCCAGCACAAATAAGGAACTGAGCAACACCCTGCTCTACCTGCACCTGCTAAATGACCTGTAGAAGTTTCTTCTCTCCCTCTATCCCACAGGAAGAAATCTTACCTTTGAAAATCCTGCCCAAACCTCTGAAGTCCATTTGATCAGAGCAGTTAAAGACTACTACGTATTTTCCCAGAGCCTTTCCCATGTCTTTTGTTGTTTCTGTTTTACCAGTTCCAGCTGGTCCTGCTGGAGCTCCTCCCATGTTCATTCCCAAAGCTTGTGCTAAAGTTATATAGCACCTAAAAATATTAATTGATGTTACTCTATTAAATTATATTAAAGACATAAATGCTTATATATAAAATACAGATCAAGTTATGCAATAGATTTTACAGCCCCATGTTGAAATACTAACTCTTCATAAAGCAATTCATAAAGCAGGAAGTTCAGAGAAGTAAAAGGCACTGAATATAACATTAAAATGCTACTTATAAAAGAAAAAAACTCCAGCAAATCAAACAAACAACAAAAGAAACAAACCCTGGTGTTAATAAGCTAAAAACTCAATGCACATCCCATAAAGGTATTTGTCATCAACTTTTCTGCAGCTATAAAGAGCACAGTCTGCTGTTGAATTCTGCTATGGCATCATATTTTGCATCATCCTAACCTGAATACCTTTAATTATTTTACCTTTGACTAAATCCTCAAGTGTGAAAAAATAAGGATATATGGATATATCCCCCATTATGGGTAAGAAACAGTTACAATTCTAGGAAAAAAAGAACCCTAAGCTTTACTCCTTTTTTTTAAGTCTTAAAAAGTCTAGACTGCAGTTCTACTTATATGTGAGCCTAAGCTATGATTTTCATTCATGGCAAGGTATAGAAGAAAAATGCAAAGGAATTAAGCAGTGGGGTATCTTCACTGTCAAATCAACATGGTTTGGAAACATTCTAACTGAAATATTTCTGGTTTTAATCCATAAATGAACAGAGTTTTATAACTAACTGGTTCTCCAATTTAGTTTGAATCACTGTAATTTATTACACTGAACTTGCACTGCAGGAGTTTTCTTCCTTTCTATACAGTAAGAAAATCTGAAGTGACAGGAATCCTTTCTCTCTGCTGTTTTATTTCAATCAAGTTTAGGGTAGAGTTTAACAATTTTATATCAAAAATACTCAGTTGCTGAGGGCAATACACTTCACTGCAGAAATCTACTAAACTTTTCATATGTTCACAATAGCAGCTCTACCACTTCTGGAGAAATAAAGGTATTATAGAAGTACATACACTATATAGATATCAGATATCAAAGTAAATTATTTTAGGTGGGAAGTTGTTTTTATATCTTGACGGGATCTTTCTGCAAGTATCTCTTGGTCTTCTATTTTCTCATTTGGTTAAAAGTGATATCTCAAGAAAGGATCAAATGGAGAAAGAATTTGGACAAAGAAGGAAGCAAAGAAATTCCCAAGAGGAAAAAAGGAAATATAGTTCTTTGTCAAGACACATTTGAAACAAAATTATCATCTACTTGCCTGGATGTAGAAGAAGGTGAGTGCATACAGCTTTTTCTTAGACTTCCAAAGAAGCCACAGAATCTTAAGAGAATCTCTTATTACAAACGTTGAAATATTTGACCTAATCTTCTCTTCAGTATACTGTAGTAACAGTATGTTACTATATAACGTTAAAACAATGAATTCCTGTTATTTAATGTTCTTTTTAACACTGGGCAGTGATAAAGGAACAAGTAAGTTTACAGATTAGTGAGACTGTATTTTATCTTTTCTAAAAGAGTATATTAAGCACAGGTATGAGAGCGTTTCATGAATAATCTTGCCCACACAGGACTTAACTCAGATTGGATCTCTTTAAAGATAAATGTTAAATAAACACTATAGGTATTAAAAGTACTCCTTATCTATAGTTGCTTTTCTAACCTGTCTGTAAGAGGTGTTATAACCAGACGATCAGTGCAACCCAGAAATTCATTTTGGTAAACAAAATCAACATCTGTAATTGCTACGATGACTTGATCATAATCCTCTTTATAGTAGAATCTAGACTGTTTTAACCACTCAAAATCAGTCGGTGTTCTGATGTTCATTTTTACCTTAAAAGAAAGCAAAAGTATGCATTACAACAGAGCCTCTACACTTATTGCCTTTACCAACTGTGATAAAGTGCTTTTGTGTGTCAGTATTTGTATGTCAGCAATGAGTGATTATTCAGATTAAAGTTCCTGTGTAAGTAAACTTCAATACAATAAGCATGACATAAATACAATAAGCATGTTCAGATGTATGCTAAACTGATATTAAAAAATGTCCTGATTGCTTAACCCAATCATGCCAACATCTGTGTTGTCAAATAAATCTTAAACTGCTTTGGTAGGGAGGTCCACTTTCCAAGTGAGAAATGCAAATAGCACACTGCTAAATCCACATTGCAACAAAGGGTGTGGTGAGGGAAGGATGTGGCTGAGGCAGAGAAACAAATGCTGTGTAACCTAAAAAGCCTCTGGAAACGTGTGAGGGACAGTGTTGAAGGATGCCATTCCCCAGAGAATAAAGGAACGGTAACAATTTAGCACAGTCTCAAAAGTTCAAGTGCAGAGCTGGAACTATCTGCTGACTCTAGCAGGTTTTTTGTTTGTTTGTGTTCTGTGTAGTCTCCTTAGGAACATGCAGCCATGTGCCATCTGAGATTCTGTAAAGTTATGAGGAAATGATGTTACAGTTACAACACCCTCAGTGATCTCAGCTTCTTAAGTTATGCAAGTAAGAGTAGTACGTCTGTTTTTCAAAGGAAGGAAATACTTTGTTTTGCCTACCAAAAAAACCTCTATAGTAAGACATGGAAAATTTAAATATTCTAAGGAAAGTGTGAATATTTGGCAAAAATATTTAGTTGACAGAAACTAATTAATGTTATTCTAGTTTAAGTAAAATTGTATTATTTTTACCTTGGTGAGATTATGGACGTCTTTTCTTATATATGCATACACATGTAACTGTAGCTACCACATACAAGAAAGAGTATTATGACAGAAAATGCATTTAGCTGTTAGAAATCAAAATCTATACTTTACCAAATCATCAAAAATATCACGCTGATGCACATGAATTGTAATAAGTGTTTCAAATTTCACTCTCTCAAACTTGGAAAGATCTAGTGTGGTCTGGCCAATCAGCGTATTCAGAATATCCAGAAATCTAGCATTGGTTACATCCATGATTTTTTTGTCTTCCTTAGCATTGCGTAGAGCTTCTTCTCCATCACGTGTCCACAATATTTGAATTCCCAGTAATCCAACCTAAAAACGTCATATATGAAAAATATAAAAACTAATCACTTGTTGAACTTCAGCTGTGTTACAGAAGGTTTAATTATAATAGGAACAATAAATTATGGTGTAGACAGTTCCAAAATATCACTATAGCCAACATGAATCTATCTCACTGGGACACCATGCCTGAATTAATTGGCTCTGCTGCACAACCTGCTGAGAAGTAGTTAAATATTTTACAAAAATTTGTCACATAGTGAGATACACTCAAACTAAGGACTACTGTCAGTTTCCCTTCCAATCATTTAGAGGACTCCAGTAATACAAACCTAAACTGGCTCTGGGGGGAGACCACCTTCTGAAAATTTTCCATTGCCAATTTGTAACTAATTAAAGGACATTAAATTGCTGTGAATTTTCACTTACCATGGGGTGGCTTGCCTTCTAACATTCTGTCATGCCTGGAGTACAGCCTAGAGCACACTTAACTACAAGTTATTTTGCTTCCAAATAAATCTAGAGAGTTATAGGTTGTTGTTGTAAATTACTGTCTCAGGTTGGCTTTGATTTACAATACCCACAACAAAAAATGACAGACAAGCAGTGTATCCCTTTATTACCCACATTTCTTTATTCACAAAGCACCAACCATAAAAATTTTATTCAACATCTCTTTCTACTTTTCTGGCTCCCTATGCCCGTAGTGAGCTCATGGTTACAGAGTTTGTGTATTACAAGATAGCCTGATGATTTTACATGGTGAGCTATCGTAGGCAGAGTCTAAAAAGAAATTTTAGAATAACCAATTAATCAAAAGAAAACAAAAAATAAATTAAATAAATATTTGGTTGTGACTATTTCATGCCATCTATAACAGCAGCTTCTGAGCCAGGAAAAAGGCAGTTTGAAGAAAATATTTCATTTTCATGTCTTCATTTGTTACTTTGCCCAATTTCTTCTCTCTTCTTCTACACAGCTTTTCTTTGTAAAAATTCCTTGGCCAAACCCTTCTAACACAAACAAGTTTTGAACATAAGAACTAAGCAAGATATGAGAAAAGATCTTTGCAGATGGTAGTAAAGCAGCATCAAAATATCTGACACGAAACAAGACAGTCTTTATCTGTTTAAGTTAGTGAAAATTTTCAAGTGAACACTGCTGAAACAACACTCCATTACACCATAAATATAGCTTTAGGATAATTCTATTAAATCTTTAAATGTATTGATTTTTTAAAAAAAATAGCAACATACTGGCCAGATTTAATATCTGCAGAATTTTTATTAAAAAATACACCCAGCACTGTACCAGTCAGCAAATTACAGATGCAGAATTCATACAGGATGGGAAACAGTTCATTAATTTATAATGAAATTGACCAATTATCAGTAAGATGGAGGAGTTTCTAGAATCCTTCAACATGGACTTGTTCTAGGACTGCATTATCATACTGACAAATATATGAAATATAAGGTAAATCTTGTAAATTATGAAATAAATAATCATAATCATAGCTCTTGCAATCTCAAATTATGAGAGAAATCAATCTGCACATGCAATTTTATTTGCAGCTGGAGAGGATTCAAAATTCATTACAAGAAATATAAGCTCTTGTTTATATTCTCCAAGAAAACTGAAAAAACCTTAATTTTACACAGATGGCAAGAAAAATATTATGCTGTATACTGGGTATCAAAGTCAAAGTGATTTAGGATTACCTTCTACTGACCAGATCCTTCCCCTTGTTTTCTCTACGAAAACTTCCTCATAACAGGCAGTCCCACGTGCTCTTCACCTTCCACCTGGCCCCAGATTGAACCCAGACTGCACACACACATCCACAACTCCTCTTCTTACCTGGGCTGGGAATTGATTAAGAAAATTCAGCAACTGATATCCTGGGTCACTAATTTGGTAAAATGCTGCCCTAATTATGCCATGCAATGACTTCTGCTGCATTTGCAATAAAATCTTCAACCAAATTTCTACTGGTCCTTTTGCAACCACTGGAGTGTCCAACTGTAAAATTAATGAAAGTAAATTTATAAAATAGAACATCATTACCAACCTTCTGTTCAAGAATATGAGTTACTACATAGTTACTAAATTTCTATTCATGACAGCTACAGATTTTATTTCAATTAATATCCAAACAATTTATTTAATGAAGACAAATTCTAGTCTTGTTAACAAACATTTTTGAAATATTTATTTGTAATTAACAATAATTCACCTTAATGCATCTTATATTTTAATAATAAAATTATTTATCGATTAATATTTCTAGAAAAAAAATCAGATAATTACTGCAATTTTTTCTCCTTCTCTTGATATGACTGCCATTATGCGATCATAATCCTTTGGGTGAAACTCTACTTCATTTATGTTGTCTGATATGGAAGTCAGATGTGGCTGTAAGGATAATTCAGGAGTTATTCAATGTAAATATTCAGCAAACAGAATAGCAAACAGAAAAGAAAAAGTCTCAAATTAGGTAATCCTGCAAAATTCATCTGAATCTACAGATGAATTTTTGGCCATCTCTAGGTAACAATTACAGAAATGGTTGTGCAGAATTTTATCTCTGTCTACTGTATTTTTACAGTTTCCAGAGATGATCTAGCAGAGATCAACTGGGTTATCTCAATCAACCCTCAGTAACAATCCAGACTAGCTGGAAGAATTTTGCAATATGCAAAGCAGGAAAGCCTCACAGGGTCCTTTTATTAGTTTAGTTGGGAAAGAAACCACTAGCAAATCGCTTGATCAAACATGTTCTAGTGCTCTGAATTCTGAAGATGGTTTTGAATCACAGGTATCCATTTCATACTTTGTTAAAGAATGGAGAGCAAGAAACAAAATTCTTTTTCCAGCAGACTTTATAAAAATAAAATGTTTGCATCTCATTTTATTAAATGCTCCTCCATATTCTAATTTTTTTATATAAGTAGAAAAAAATCATTAAGTTCATACCTGGATTGTATGAGAATCACTTGCTTGTCCAAGAATTTCAACAAGTGCAGGATCAGAAATAAAAAAGAATCTTGGAAACAGCAGTCTTTTCTTCTCTAAATATCTTTAAAATTGAACAAGATTTTTGTTAAACTATTTCAGCTTGTAATTTTTTCTATATAGGGGTTTAAGTAACTCTGAAATACAATTAATGATTCATACAAACTATTTACAATATAGTAAAGCAGTAAAAACCAAACAATTCATACCCTGTAAGTGATTTCTGGCATACTTCCAGCTGTTCGTGTAGGTAAGGGAGAAGTTGCTCCATAGTATCATCTCCAACACAGCAGGCAATTACATTTGCATTTTCATGAGCTCGTTGCATTATTTTTACCCAAGATTTGTCAATATTCTGAAAACGCTTTGCTTCCTATATATAGAAAAAGCAAAGCATACTCTCTTGAAAATTATTGCACAGAAAGCTTTCCGTATAAAGTATTAGGCAAGCATTGTAAAGTTTACCTGGGGTAACTCTTTTGCAATATCTCCTGCTACAAAAACAGCTTCAAGATAAATCCAGAGGTTCTGCACAACCAGCCATTCCTCAATTATGCGTGAAGAGTTGCTTAGTTTAGAAACCCAACTCTGAATTTGCTTTTTAAATGCCGTATTGTATCTAAAAGTAGAGAGGAGAGTAAACCATTTAATTCTAAATAAAGCTATTATAAGATAATAGCTTTATTTGGCTGTGGTGAAAAATCCCCCAAAACCCAGAACAAACTAACTCTTGTTTCACTTAGAACAAGAACAACATTATGGGAAGATTTTAGCAGGTAGGTTACATTCAAGTATATTGAGATGAAAGTTGTCTCAATTGAATATGCATGGCAGTCTTTCTCATACAGATGCTTTTAATTCGGCCGTGTAATACTTTGTTTCATTAAAGAACATTTAATTCAAATTTACTGCTGATTCAGCTCAATAATAGTACTGTTACTATCACAGTGTATTTCTGAAAACGCCATACATGAACAATGCCAAGTACCTATTAGACAGTAGAGAATCCAGAACCATTAAACTGTCCTCCATCAATATCATGATTTCTGCTGATTCAATTCCCTTTAACAGTAACTCTCCTCTTGCTTTGAATTGTGCAAAGCTCAGACTTTGAGCTCCCCAGGTTTCAGCTACTTGAGACAGTTTGGCTTCTATATCCTTTTCCTTCATAGCAGATATGCATATATCCTGTAAAGAAAGAACCACTTTTTACACTCTCCAATCTTGTGAAATGAATTTCCTAATACTGCACATCCATTCATAGAATATTAAAAGTGCAGATATCACACTACAAATGCCACTCACTCAAATTACTTGTATGGATAACTGAAAAAAGCACTTTTGGAAATGGATGGATATATACTTTCTGTGGCTTCACATTTTGTTATTTCTGTGTAAAAAAATATTTTTGATCATAATTTCTACAAGGCTGAGGAGGGGTAGTGATTAGACATCATCAGATGAGCTCTGACTCTTACCACATTTCAGTTTATAGAATCTCAGAATCTAAGAATGGTTTAAATCGTACAGGTCAAGTCTAACATTCTATTCAAACCAGAGCTTAACTCAAACTTAAGCAGATCACCTTGGAATGCTTCCATATAAATCAAGTAAAGATATAATACGTTTTTGCATATGTATTTATCATATGAAACATGGAAACTCCACTGAGTTTTCACAAATTGTATGGGGTGGTTTTTTTAAGTTATGTGGTTCAAAATAAGCCATAATAATCTTGAAAAAGTTTTAATATTAAATATTATTATTATGCATGAAGTCCTCATCTAAAATTTCTGATTTATCTACAAAGCTATAAAGCAACAACAGAGGTAAAAAAAAATAGATACAATGACCATTTAAGGGGTTTTTTTTAGGGATTTTTTTTCCTGCTTAAAAAGAGCTAAGAAAATCATAAAAAATAATGGCAGGAGGAATGTGAAGAAATTATCTAAAAATAAGGGTCCAGAGATTCCAGCTTCTACCTCTATATTTGCTCACATAGATAAGAGCTTCTAAATAAAATACAGATTGTTTTAAACCAATGTGGTCTGATTGAGATTCAAGGATTTTAATGAAGTAATTATTTCTAAAGAGAGTAACCATTTTATAAGCAATCACATTATTTTTGCTCTCAATATAAAATGAACAAGGAGGAGAAAAACATATGTACCTACCTCAATATCTTCTTTATTTTTAAGAATTGGTGCTTCCATGATGTTTCGAAGGCAAAAGGTCTCAGATTCTACATCAAAGTGATGTCCTGTTGTTTCAGAAATACGATCCCAGTGTCTTTGCTTCATTGCTTTGTCAGACATCATTTCCAGCAAAGAACAACACTCAATAAAATCCTCAATATTTTTCTTGAGATCTGAAAAGGCTTGCCAGTGGTGGAGACCTTTAGGTAGTCTACGGCACCTGCAGTCAAATTAAAGTGATACAGTAATAAATGCCCCTTCTGTCAAAATTGAATTGTTTAAACAAGAGTGGATTGTATTAATGTCAACATTTTCTATGTCAGCTAGCCTAACTGTTTAGGAAAAACTAATAAAAATGCCCTACTTAAAATCATAATATTTAATAGTCTCAAACACTGATATTTTCCCTGAAAGAAAATAAAAAAATGCTTTCATTAACACATAGTTATCTCCTGCTTTTTATCAGAAACTCTTTATTGGAAAAGAAAAAATAAAGAAAAAAACAGTTAAAATAATTTAATTTCACAAATGAAATCTTTGTACAAATGTAATATTTACTTCAGTTTAATACACATGGCACTTATTAACATACCAATTTGGAGACAGACATGAAAAATGAGATAAATATGGTTCCACTTTTGATTAGTGGTTCTGAAACCAATCACTAATGAAAACTATATATTTTTAATGTGGAAGAAAGCCTGAGAACAGTTAAATAAATATCCACCTCTTTTAACACACTTTTAAAGAATCAACACACAAAGAACCGAGCAGGTGATCTATGCCAGGAATGCCCCAGTGCAAATGGTAAAGTATATCCTGATCAGGAAAAACAATAAATCCTTGGCTTTGCATCCTTTGTCACTTATTTCTCTACCTCCAACTGATATGATTTCCTATTCCCAGTAATCAGGAATAACACAGCAGCATGTGTGTGGCTTAGAGCTATGTCAGTGCTGGGTGCTTGTCAGTACGTTCCTGGTGGTTAGCTCTCCACTTGATGTCAAACTGGATGTTTAACACCTGCCTGCCTTTCTCTGGGGGAGAAAAAATTTTGTGCCTGTTATTCTTGTATGCAAAACTTAAAATCAATTGGATAATCATCCCAGTTGAAGAACTCAGCTTTTACAAATAAAATTTCAGTCCCCCTAACCTTGGTTTAGCTAATGAGATCGGCTCTTCAACTGATCTTATGCCCTTCAGTTATCAAAGCTACAGGTAAAAGGCTGCTTAATTAGAAGTATGGTGTCATTTCATTCCTTGAATAATCTTACTGCTTACAATAAACTTTATTCATGGAGGTTTTTGATAAATATATCAATGGCTTTGCTGAACTCATCTAAATCTTAATGCATCTAACATCCTTTACTGTTCATACGTTAAACATACCTGCTTTGATATTCTGTAAGTTCAGTAGTGATTTTTTCAATATCTATCTCTGTCCAAAGTATGTCATAGTACCCATTGATAGTGCTTATTACAGTATCATATAGTCCATACAATTTCTGAAGCAAGCCTAACTCCTTCCTGGGAAAAAGGAAGCAATTATGACAATAATTTCAATCAGCTCTCTGGATATCTCACAATATTTAAATACATTATATATATAAAAAAATACAAAAAATAGAGGTAGGCAATTAGAGTATGCTTCTTAATGTAGAAAAGAATACTTCACAAAAAATAATCCACAAAAAAGAGCAGATGGTTGGTGCTAAGGACCTAACAACTACACTGAACATATTTGGAGGAAGTTTTGCTTTGGCCCAGTTCTCCAAAACGCCCATTAGTCCAATAGAAACCTAGGTGTTATGCCCTGAGCTGGCTTTGCAGGGCAAAGTAGAGCATGGCAGGTGGAAATAAACTGTCAATTTACTTAGAAGCACTCTCTGAATGTGAACTAAAACTCTGACCTAAAACCAGACAGAAACAGAGAGATCTTCCTGTGGTGTGAATCATCATCAAATATTTAAATGGCTGGTGCAAAACCTTTAGAATCCTATTATCCTTTGTATAGATGCTCAAAAAAATCTGACTTTCATAAAATCTGTAGTTGAATTCTTCTTATATCACAATAGAATGACCTTCCCTTACATTTTCTTCTTCACTTTCTACCATATCCTAATACACAAATATATGTTTTTATTTCTATTTATGCCTAGAACAGGGCATATTGCTCCTTTATATAGTATTTATACACAGTAAAATAAACTAGTATTCTTTCTGTTACAATAATAAATAGGTACTATTTTTTAAAATTAACAAATTCATTAGAACTCTTAAAATTTTATTTATCTATTTATCTATTCTTTTATTTATTTACTTTATTCAAGGCAATGGAAAACTTGTAATATTTCTGCCTTTGGTGTAAGCCTAAGACTTTCTAACATACTTAATAACATACTTAAGGCAGCCATATTTCCACAGTTACCTGACTTTATGCAAAATGTCATACTCTGTGACAGGCAATCCAAACAGCCGCTCACCAGACGAGTACGTGATAAACTTTCTCCACAGGTCATCAAAGTTAGCCTGATTAAGTTGTGTTTCATACAGACCAAATGAAAACATAAGTTTATAAGTTTTTATTTTAAATTGTCTAAAAATAAATCATTAAACAATTTAAAACTTTTGTTAAGTCTATTAGAAGTATATGTAAAATATCTGAAAATATTTTTGATCTAAACAAACATATGGCTTGAAGTAAACCACCAGAGTGTCAAATAGCACAGTTACTTTCAAAGAATAAGTGCTGTCCAAAGGATATGGCCACCAAAGAAAAATGAAAGGAATGATTTTCACAGCTAGGATCCAAAAGTACAGAGCATTTTCTTGGCAAAATGAGAAACACAGCAAAGTTAACCAGAATCATTCAATACTCAGTACATATTAGATGTATCAGAAGGATAAAGCATCTTCTGTTAGTCACTCAATGCTTTTCACAAGCTCAGAATTTACTTTATACAGTAAATAGTCAAAAGTACTATTCAAGTTACTATAACTTGCAGGAAAAAAGAAGTATTAGAGAAAATACTGCTCCTGGACCTATGAATTAAGGTTCATAACAAATAAATTGCAAGTTGAAAGACAATTATCTAATGAAAAATGTGATCTTTAAAAGAGTAGAAGATTGGCTCATGATTGCTTTATAAACTGGCTTATCAAGGTGTCATAATTAACTCTTCCATTTTCTACTGCTTTTATTAGTTCAAATTGATAATTTCTGCCCACAAAATATGAAGAGTGAAGAAAGGTTACAGATGGATCAATCAATCTTTCCACATTAAGGAAAACATTGCATGAGAGAAACTATAGATAATGTAATATTATACGGAATATCCAAATTACAATTTGGTACACTTGTTATGATAAGCAAGGGCAGATTTAATTAATTAGTTGCAAATTCAAGAGTTTACTTTCTTACCTGAAAGATCTGCAGCCTCTTACTGGCTTCCTGAGGTGGGATGCTTGGAACCATAGGCCCTTCCTGTCAAATAAGCAGTTAACAAAAATGGAATATTAATTCTCAAAGTGACTGAAGGCCACTCTGTATTTATAGATCATTACAGAATTTATATTTTTGTTAGTCAAACTCCAATCAAGTTATGTAGCTTGGTAATTCAATACTTAAAACGGTAAATCTAAGAAGAGGTAACTTTTATGGAATTAAAAATTCCATCTCTTATAAAATTAATAAGATTGGACTCTAACTTTTCATGTTTATTTTGCCGAAAATAACAAATCCCAGACAGTGGTCCTTTTTAATGCTGATGTGTGTGCAAAGATGCCACAACCTGTACTACAGTTTCTAAATTAATCTGTAATTTATAATTACGACTTCATTACAAGATGTAATGTTTCTCTTCTTTTGTTATAGAGTTGTGTGCACTGCTATTTCTTCATACTGAAAATTTGACCTACAGTGATGACTGCTTAGCAACAGACAGCAAACACCAGTAGCTGAGCAGAATAAAATTCTGCACCCAACTGCTGCAAACCAGAAACATTGAAACACTGACTGTAAGTCCTCCCTGCCACTACTAAAATTCATTTACCGTTTCATATGCTGTTTCAAAGTTTGATACATCCTCCCGAAAAACTGCAACTGCTTCCAGCAAATCACTCTTAAATTTGGGCTGAACTTCAACTAATTCATCTTGAACTGCAATCTGACACAGAAAAGATTAAAATTAGTTCTTTCTGTAAGAATCAGAAATAGATATTTGAGTTAGATATAAATAAAAATTATGAATAAAGCATCTCAAATTTTTGAACAAAAATTTATTCTTTGAAGCTAAATTTATTTTTTTTGCTTTATGGTGCTGCACGTTCAAATCTTGAGCATAAAGGAGGGGGAAAACCAAACCACCTCAACCAAAAACCATAACAAAATCTTGCATTAGCCTTTGAAGGAATTTGTTTCATTACAAGAGGGTGAGAAGATCCTATTCTCTTTCTTTCCTCCTTCCAAAAACTTCAAACCTCAAGCTAATAGTCTTCTTCCTCACATGGAGCTCAGTCTTCTCTTTAACAAATTTCTTTTTCTTTGATCAAAATTTGTTAAAGAGAAATAACCAAGGGCTGCACAAAATGTAAAACATACTCGAGTCCTTTGCTGAGCAATTAATCTGTGGGACAAGATGCAACTTAATCGATTCAACAAAATATCGACATATTTCCATTTAACCATCTCCATGACATAAAATACTCAATAAACAAGGAGTTCTTGAGGAATATAAGGCTGTCCTAAATAATAAAGGTGAATACAGATCCACCACTTAGGAGTAAGGGCACTGGCAGAGTATGTGCTTCTTAGAAAAATGTAACTTAAGGGTAATAAACTCCCTGATCAGACAAGAATGACACAAAAACTGGAAATGAAGCAGAGCAGAAAGAGAATTTTCTTGCAGGTTTTAAACGTATATCTAAAAGCCACAATAATATTTAAATTTCAAAGTAATCTATAAAAATTAAATTAAAAAATGAACATAGTAATAGAAGATATGTACATTACTGCACAACTGATGTCATGGGTGAGAAGTCAGAGAGGATGGACAATTAGTCTCACACTCTCATTTGTAACCTAAAGAAACTCACATCTTTTCCACACATGGAAAATAACATAATTATTATATACTTACAGCCTGAGTTTTTAATTTATTAAAAGCATATCTCATTGAATCAACACCATCTGATTCCTCTTTTGTAACTTCCATTTGAAATGTATGTAAAATGCCATAGGCTTCCTAGACGAAAAATAAAACAGAACAAAACTTAGGAATACATTATAAGTTCATATTTTTTAATACCTTTTATTTATTTACAAAGTTTGCATCGTTCCCTAAACATGTAAAACCTAGCAAGTAGACAGTGCTGAGCTCAGTGCCTCTCTCTTGCTTTATTTAACAGCTATGAGTACGATTATCATATCCTGAAGACAGACTAACAACATTTAGTAGATGTGAATATTACTTTAAATGTTTAAATTATCGTTCAGGTTATTCTATTTAGTGTATGGCTAAGACTTTCTAACATTCTTGATACACACTTAAGAAGGCAGCTGTATTTCTGCAGTTTACCTAGACATCATTTAATCACAGAACTCATTCTTTTCTTACAAACCAATGCATAAATTGCTAAGACAAAAACCACATTCTTACCATAAAACTAGAAGTGACAACAATTAGAGAAACTCCTTTCAAGTGTCATAAATCAGTTTTCAAAATCTCACTATACAGCAAAAAATTTCCTCTTCAAAAGGTGGATGAAACTATAAAGCTAATTTTTTCTATTAAGTTGACTGTTTCAGAGAGTGATAGAAATACCAAGCACTTGTAATGAGCTTGTTTAGCTTCTTTCAGCTAATTTCTTACAGAAAAAACAAAAAGAATGTTGCCAGTTTCTGACAGCATACCGTGATGTGTGATTCCATGAATATTCTCTGGCTATATTTCAAGGGGCTAGATGATCAAGATGTTTCTTTACACACACAGGAAAAGTAAGAGGATTAAGGCTAATGAAAAGCAAAAAGGAGCATAGTGCTCTCTTGTTTTGTGTTCTCATCTTCTTATTTCTGCATATTGTCTCCTAGATTGCTTCTATATTATAATTTGAGAAAGAAGTTTTTCTGTATTGCATTAATACAGAATCTATCAAATTATCTGATTCATACTTTATAATATAAAAAACCAAAAATAATATTTTCCCCATCTTCAGCTTAGTTCTCTCAAGGCAGTGAACTTGTTGTTAGAGTTCAATGCTTATCTTATCCTGTGACACTTATTATATTTATTATTATTTATAATAAGAAGAATATTTTTCCAATACAACAAATGAAAAATCATCTTACTTCAATAGGTCCCATAGAAATATCTACGTCTGCTCTCTTTTCTTGAATGGTAGATAAAGCTTCCATTGCTAATCTGACATCATCTAAGTCAGTCAGAGGTCGAGACAATCTGTTTATGTATTCATTTATGAACGACACCACGTCTAGTAATTTTGTTTTATATTCCTCATTTAAATAACGACAGAGGACCATCTTCCAGGAATTCGCTTCAATTTCTAAAGCTTTTTTCAGTGGTCCTGGTTTTAAAAAAACAACATAAAAAGAAAATTACTCAATTCATATATTTTTTTCTTAAGAAAGCCCACACCATCACATATGGTTCTTTAACAGCAATTAGAAAACAGCAGACAAACCATTTCATAACAGCATTTTAAAAGTTTCAAAACGATTTCAACTATAATGAAAAATATTTCTGTTGTTTTATTGTATATTATGCTATCTGTAAAACATATTGGTAAGCTTACCTAGTGGAGCATATAGAGAAGATGAATAAAGAACAAAATGTCTACTTATTGATGTAGATTTTCAGAAAATAGCCTTGATATACACTAAATAAATGTATAAAGATCAGTGATATTTAAATGCATTGAGGAAATGGCATCTTGGGATTTCAAAACTGGGACTTGGAATAGTTCACAGCTAAAACTGTAAGGTGACACATGTTATATGCAGTTAATATGTAAACACAAACCAACACTAAAGAGACATAAGAGTCAAGAATTCAAATTTATTCTCAGAATAAATAAGGATTTTATCGCACAGTATTTAGTACTCTGGTAAAGAAAGCAAAATATACTAACAGCATAAGCTATTTCTGCTCACAAAACAAATTTTGCAGCAGATATAGATTCTTCTTTAATCAATTACATTAAAGAGAAGATTCCTGAAGCCCAGGAGTAATTCAAGAAAATTACCACACCCTGCCAGAAGTTAAAAACCTGTAAATCACAATAAATCAGTTCCCAAACCTAAACTGAGTCCAAGACCTGCTGTCCCAGATCATATAAGACATTTAATATTTTTGTTCTGTAATCACAAGTGAGGGAGTACTGTAACCAGCAACAAAATCCATATTCTTTTGGAAATACTCCTTCTTACTACTCTTGGTCACACAATAATAGATAGAGTTTTCCAGAGTAGTGTCATTAAAAAGAAACTGCATCCAGGAACTGGATGAGGATGTGCAGTCAGCAGTCTGACATTTTTGCTTGTTCACTGAAAGAAATAGGGTTAACACGCCACAAAGATTCTGAAATGAAGTCCAGTCTTCAAAGCAGGCAGCTTCTGCTTCTCTGATGTACAAGAAAGACAAATTTTACAGATTATTTCTTACTCTAATCAATAAATCTCTCAGAAGAGAGTTGCTCATCAGAAATGCAGTCACAGCAATACTTGCAACAGGACACATTTTCTACTTGTTGCTAGATACCAACCAGATAGTTGGTCCATAGAGGATGTGTTAGCCTTGTAATAATCTGTGAGATGAAATGTATAAGTACTATTGAAATCCTTAGCAAAATGAGCTATGACACAAATGCCATAGAACAAACAGCTTAATTCAGAACATAATGTTCTGAGAGCTAGAGATACTAAACATGGGAATGACTAAGTAGCCACCTCTCCTCCTGAAACACTGAATGTAAAAAACACATTAATGCTGTTAAGTGTTAGTCCTTCATCAGTACCATAGGAGGTGCTTTTTGCTTCCAATGCTCTTTATTATAATTGGCTGACCTGGTGCCAGACAGGAGTACCAAGGATGATCAAATCAGTGCCAATACACATTCATTAACTCTTCGGCAAGCCTCCATACAACAACTTCACAGTCATGACACAACTTAGTGTCCATGTTTACAAGTGGAGAAGGCAAGGGGAATGGAGGATTTTTTAAAGTCAGATTTCTTAGAGTGGTCTGAGTGAGCCCTGGCCGACAGTCAGTGAGGTCTCTTCAGTAATTTCTACTCGTATTGAAATATGTCCAGATATATTTCAATATATATGTTCATATTTACAAGAATAAACCAGTCTCTCATAGTATCCTTCTGGACAAAGCATGCAGCTGGATAAACATGCCATGTGATGGGTGAGCAGCTGGCTCACAGGTTGGACACAAAGCGTTACAGTGAATGAGGTGACATCAGACTGGAGACCTGGCACTAGAGGGGTTCCAACAGGCTCCATTTTAGACCTTGTGCTCTTCAACACCTCCATAAATGACTTGGACATAGAACTGGAAAGAATACGAAGGAAGTTCACAGACTAGGTGGAGCTGTTAATTCCCTTGAAATTAGAGAGGCCCTGCAGAGAGACCTCGAAAAGTCAGAGGGCTGGGCAATCACCAACCATATGTAGTTCAGCAAGGGAAAGTGCTGGATTCTGCACCTGGAATGGGGCAACCCTGGATGTAGGGACAGACTGGGGAATGAGATGTTGAAAATCAGTGGCACAGAAAGGAACCTGGGGTTTCAGGTTGATTGCAAGCTGAACACGAGTCAGCAGTGCCCTGGCAGCCAGGGGGGCCAAGCATGTCCTGGGGTTCATCAGGCACAGCATCACTGGCCAGGCCAGGGTGGGGATTGTCCTGCTCTGCTCTGCACTGGTGCAGCCTCACCTTCAACACTGTGAGCAGTTTTGGATGCCACAATGTAAGAAAGAAATTAAGTGATTAGAGAACATCCAAAGGAGGGCAATGAGGACGGTGAAGGGCCTTGAGGGGAAGCTTCATGAGGAGCAGGCAAGGTCACTCGGTCTGTTCAGCCTGGAGAAGAGAAGAATGAGAGAAGATCTCATTGCAGTTACACCTTCCTTGTGAGGGGAAGAGGAGGGGCAGGCATTGATCTCTGCTCTCTGGTGGCCAGTGACAGGACCTGAGAGAATGGCCTGAAGTTGTATCAGGGGAGGTTTAGGGTGGATATAAGGAAAATAGAATGGAAATAAGGAAAAGCTTCTTCACCCAGAGAGTGGCTGGGCACTGGAACAGGCTCCCCAGGGAGCACAGCACCAGCCTGCCAGAGGTCAGGAAGTGTTTGGACATTGCTCTCAGGCACATGGTGTGACTCTTAGGGATGGTGCTGTGCAGGGCCAGGAGCTGGACTCAATGATCCTTGTGGGTCCCTTTCAACTACACATCTTCTGTGATTCTGTGACTATTTTACTCATTATTTTACTGTACATACTAAGATAAGAAAAATGTCATACCTGTGTGCAATTCAATTGGACCAAGACGAATAGTGGGTTTTAAAGTTTTCATCTCTTGCTCAAATGTATCGTAGTGAACTATTTCTTCTTTAATTTCAGACAGGGTGGGACCAGTAGCAAAAAATTCCTGTGTGTAGTTTAAAATGTCAATCAGCAAATGTCCTTTTCCATAATTTTGGTAAAACATGTTGTAACTGTTATTCACTAATTACTGAAAATTTATACCTTTATTATACTTGTTTTTAGCCTTCTGTGGCCTTGCTAGCATAGTAAAATGAATGTTTATAAATTTCTCTGTCACTAGCACTCAACCTTGTTCGGAAGTTCCAACCAAATTTAACAGAGAAACAGTTAACCAAGAAATATTAGGGACCTACTTGTTTTGCAAAAACAGGTGATCAAACAGAGATCAAATACGTGCCCACACTTACAGAAAGACTACCTCATAAGCCAAATTATGTGTGAAACAATCACAATAAAATACATTTTTTAAGTAGGCCCCTGAACAGAAGTCAAGGGTAGAAACATTTTGTGATTCTCAACAGTTGCATTTCAGAAATGTTACTTAAGACCTGTATTGATTATGCTTACACTGCATGGGCAAGTAATAAATGCTGAAAGTTTTATCCCACTTCTACTCTTCTGTCCAAGAGTACACAGACAGGCAGTGGAAGGGTTAGCGTAGTGGAAAAGGAAGAATGTAGAAATTAAACGTCTATAAAATGTACTTATTATTAAATTAAACTGTCTTATTATTGAAGCTTTCACTGCAGCAGTGTCCTGTTCCTCAGTAGTAATTAGATCAAGCTAGTAATATTAATTTGATTAGACTTAAAATTTTAATTAGACTAACAGCAAATTTTCAGCCCTGCTTATGAATTGGTGGGGTTTTAACCCACATAACTCATCCTGAATTCCACCATTTCATGGTCACTGCAGCACAAAACTTCCCTTGAGCTTCACCTTCCCCACAAGCTCCTTCTTGTTGGTGAGAACAAGGTAGAGTATGGTACCTCTTCTCAATGGCTCTTCAATTACTTGGTCAAAGAAGTATCAACCACACATTCCAGGAACCTTCTGGCTTGCTTGTGCCCTGCTGTGTTGTCCCTCCAGCAGATATCAGAGTGATTGAAGTCCCCATGAGGATCAGGGTTTGTGAATGTGAGGCTGCTCCTGTCTGTCTACACAAAGTCTCATCTGCTTGGACTTCCTGGTCGGGCAGCCTGTAGCTGATCCCCACTACAATGTCACCTGTCCATGCCCCTTTTTTTAATCCTCACCTGGTCTTCCCTGCCTAGCCTTCCTAAAGAGCCTGTGTCCCTCCATTCCAGCACTGCACTCACAGGTGTCATCCCACCATGTCCCTGTGATACCAGTAGCCTTGCAGGCAGGTGCATGTCTCTAACTCCTCTTGTTAATTCCCCGTGCTACCTGTGTTTGCACAGACACATGCATCATATCAAACTGGGTTGGTTTCTTGTGGCCAAAACCCCAGAGTTACACAGACAAAACAAAGCAATTACCAGGTTTTCAGTATCTAGAATGGCACAGAAGCAGGAAAAAGCAAACCAAACCACAAAAAATTACTTTACACAGAAGTAAAATGCTATTACTTCTCCTTAGCAGATATAATACCATTCCTACAAAAAGATAAAATAAAAATTTCAGCTGTAAATGTGTTTTCTACATCTTTATTTTCCTTGATTTTCCCCAATGTTTTCCGATTTCAAAACATAAGATTAATGAAGAATAGTCCTGTAAGTGATCATGGTTAAACTGACCTGAAATTTGGTATCTTTATCTTCTGTCCACAGCACCTTATATTTATCAAACACTTGCAGAACTTCACTAACTCCTTCTTTTAGAGAAGTCCCAGCAGAAGAGAGAAGCACAATTATTTTAGTAATAACTTCATTTTCTGCAACACCTGCGTAAAAATTTTTTATCTTTCTGATAACTGTATCATCAGCTCCTTCTGTAAAATAAAATTATATATAAATCAATGAACTGTTGACAGTCTGATTAGAATTGTCTTCCAAATCTGTGCATACCAAATTGAGCAATGATGCTCTTCTTTAAGGCTGTATATTCTTCTTCAAACATCTGTCAAACTGCTTAATGTGAAGTACCAGCTGCTAGCTCATGCCAGGCACTATACAGCTAGAGCAAATTCAGTCTAAAATGAAGATTTTCAAATGGAAGGAAAAGAGTTTTCTTCATTCACAAATTTCATTGTCTCCATTTTAATTTAATTGTAAGCAGAACATCATAAACATTCCACATTATCTCATAATTTAAACAAATTCTTACAATTAGAGTTTTTAAATTGTATATACTCCTTAAAGCAGTGTAAGCTTCTTAAACTCTTTGATTAATTGCAAAGACAATCAGGGTCAATACAGAAACTGATATTCTTCATACGTGACGAGCTGTTTCTGTCATAACAATGCCTGAGCATTTTGAAGCAGATTTCAGAGAACAAAGAAGAAAAATTCACCCTTCCCTCTGCATGTACTGTTAAAGGAAGGGAATTTAAGGCAGCTCCAAGTTCTCTTTTACTCTGAAGACTTTTTCTGGGGTCTGCTTACTGGAAACAGATTCATCCATCCTTACCAGTGTATTCCATAACCTCATTGCCCAAACATTAACATATGCCCTGAGGTGTTGCTGGTGTCTAGTTACAGGTGATGAAAATGGTCATTTGCTGATGCTGTATTTTGACACAGCAGAGGAAAAGACTCTGAGTGTCTGATGAGGATTTTCTCCTGCCACACTGTTTAAAGCCCATTAAAAGAGGTTAGAATTATACAAGGCATGTCAGTAGAAGCATAAACAGCTCTGAACTGTCAGAAAGAAAAAACTTTCCAAGATTTTACAGACTTTTCAAAGGAATGATAACAAAGATATAACTGGATTTTATATCACTAGGTCAGCCAAACAACTAAGAAAACCCAAAGCTTAAAACATATTTAGGCTTTTATGGTAACTTGCAAAATGTATGCAGAGATGCTTGGAAATAAATGGATAAAATTACTAAAATGGATGCAGGTTTGTCTCAAGTAAATATTTTTCATTCACATGAAAAGACATTTGAAGTGTTTTATAATCCAATCTAGGAATACATCCAGCAATTAAAACCTTTCCTGAAATCTGCCTCTTGCTGTATCTTAATATTTCAATGAGATTTAGTGTAAAGTCATGGTTTATGGTTTCAGCTATAGCATTATGACTACATTCCACAATAAGTAGGTAAAAAGATTGATCAACAGCTTACTTTGCCTTAAATTAAGTAAAATATTCAGAATCTAGCAATTGGTCAAAGTTTTTGCTTATTGTTTTTCAGAGTTGAATTACTTATGTAAGCCTGAAAAACTATTTCTGAAAAATACAGCTAATTAAATCAAAACAAACCCCCAAAATTAATGTAAAACAATCCACAGTAGGCTTCTCTGACGGAAAGTGAGCTCATTCATAAAAATTTACATATGGCATAGCTACTAAAGCAAAAAGGAAAGTAAAAAGGAAACAAAACCTGAACAAAACACTTACTTTCTCCTTTTCTGGTTCTTTTTCCTTGTGATCCCAAGCCTGCAGAAGCTGCTTGCTGTGCGCCTGGTTCTGTTTTCAAAATAGATTTTTGCAAATGCCTCTGTCCCCACTGAGCAACTCCTCGATTTACTTCCAGTGTTAAATGAATCATGCGATTGATGGCTTGCTGTATATCATCTAAACTGGGAACAATTACCTATTTAAAATAGTTAAAAATGGTTGAAATAAACGCAACTGATTGCCATTTTTGAGACCCCAGTTTTACTCCACTCATAGTGAATTGCAGAGTTTACCCCAGAAGAGAAGCTGGAAAATATAACTTTAGCAGGTTGTCTGGCTCAGAATTGCTTCCAAAGGGATGAAACATACTGTAATGACCTACCATGTAATTATGCAGTCATACTGTAGGTGAAATGGCAATCAAGTATATAAGCAGATAGATTTATTGGCTTTTTTATAGCAATTTAAAAAACTCCGACAACATTTTAAGCATGATTTTTATAATGATTTTTATATAATGTGTGGGAATACATTACAAGCCTTGTTTTTTACACTCTAGAATAACAGAACATTAGAAATTACATGCTGTGGTGCAACCACTACATCCCACCCTTCTTGGGCCTTATGTATGACCAGCTGCATACATAAAAGCAAGGCTCTCCCAAAATATTATTGGCATTAGCACAGTGGTATTTTACCCAGAATTACTTGATTACTGCCCTGGATCAGCCAAGCATTTGAGGACCAGAAAGAGAGATGTACTTCCTTTGCAGTGGGTAGAGCTTGGTGCTTTATGCTTCTACAAATATCAACAAGGTAAACATTCTACACTTTGACAGAACTTGCATATCATGTGTACACACACACACACACACACACACAATGTCACTGTATAACAGAATGACAATATAAACACCAGTTCAGTGTCAAAGGAATATCATCTTAGAGCAGAACTCTTTTTCACTGTAATTTTAATATAAAACCATTAATCTTTATAAGACATTTGAGAAATTTTGTTACCTTTCCTCATAAAATATAAAATACTTATTGCTGACACGTAGCTATCTCACTCTGCGAAAGGAAAATAAACTAACGCTTTAGTTCTTTGCAACTGAACTGCCTTTTTTCCCCCGTACATAGAAATCCACAACTCCTTCTGGTTTTGAATCTTCTATTTTTGTTCAGTATTCCTTATTCTTGTCATCTAACTTCCCATTTAAGTGACTGAAGCCAAACTGAGCAAAGATAATGTTCATTATTGAAATTCAACAAAAGGATTTAGATTACACAAGGAAGAGTTAAAATAAATAAATAAATAAATAAATAAATAATGATAATAACAATACTAACAACTATAACAATAATAATAATAATAGTAATAATAAAGCAAGGTGATTAACCTATTCCAGTAATGCAACTACTACATGTGAGAACTGTAATCATTCTGCAAAGAACACGGATGAACAGATTGCAATGTAATTGCTAAACCACACAAAGTTAAAAAGCAAGGTTCTGCAAGCCCCACTGAGACAGAGGCCAGAGCACTGGGACTGTGAGCACATTTCATCAGTGCTCGCAGCACACTGAAAGATGTGAGCAACTGCACTCCTTTGGAAAAGATGCTGGTTCAGTGGAAGCATGCCCACACCCTGCACTTGGGCAAATACAGAGATAACACAGTGTATCTTACCTTACCTATATGACATAAAACTTACTAGATTGGGAATAGCAAGGTGTACTTCTGCTTTTAGAAAAGGAGGGATGTCCTCACATTTGCTGTAAAACAATTTTGACACGTATCACAAACACTTCGTCAGAAAACCTCCTCAGTTTATCTGAGAAATATCATTTTGAGCTATATTTTCTGACCAAACCCACATGGAGAATTTTCACATAAAATTATGTACCATTTCCAAAACTTACAGAAGTCTCTTGTTTAAAGAATAAAGAAAATAGCTAGAGCTCCATCATTCTGACAAAGGTTAGCTTGACCCCAGACATCACTTTCAGAATTTTTTATCCAGAGTATTTTCTGAATCTGGATTTTAATCTCTCAGGTTCAGAATGATGGAACTTTGCCAGTGCTCTGAATAGGGCACAAGAAAGTCTCACTGATCATTACATGCAACAAACTATCAAGAGCAAAAGTTGTCCCATTACATTTTAGGTAAATATTCAACAGAATGGAAAAGAGTTTCAAAGATGACAAGCTAGTGCAAAATGATAAAAACATGATGTTAACCTACTCAAAACTAAAATTAAAACCTAAAAACGTGGAGCAAGGTAGAATTTTAAACGCTGTGGTATGATATAGCAATGAAATAACACAGGATTCAACAATATGATACAGTAGACAAATATGAAGGAAACAACCAAAAAAATTCCTATTGACTTTGATAAGGACTCCAATACATTTCTTTAATGAAAAATGTCCTTAGAAAAAGAAAAAAGTAATTCATCCTTTAACAAACATTAATGACAAAACATCATAAACTTCATTTGCTTGAAATAAATTATCTTAATAGAGTTCTAAGTAGGCTTTTCAATAAACAATATATTATACTGAAACAATTCTGTCTCTAAAGTGTATGCCTGTTCAAGCAGAGAAGAATCTATAGAAACCATACTGAATATAGGAGAGTGATTTTGTATGGATCTTGCCATTATCATGAAGAATTCATAAAGAGTGGGTACTATTGAAGGAAGATTGAAGGAATTGAAGGAATCTTTAATTTGCAACTTACATTGGAACACTCATTCTTCTTTTAATACGATCCAAAGACATTCGTGTTGCTTTCTGGAGGCTGATGAGCAGGCGGCGACTGAAATAGGCAAGTAAGTCTTTACAGTTCTGTAATAAATAAACCATACATTCTTTAGCACCGTATTCACATAGGAACCTGAAAATTATTGCAAAAACATTTTAAGTCAAACTTAATAGATTTTGTTAGCAGGAATTTATGCTGTAAGATACATGAAAAAAAAAAAGTGAGAAGTTGGAGGGTTGTAAGTAAGTAAATAAGTAAAAGCTGCACGGAAAAGAGAATACAGTATGTGAAAAAACAGCTTATCTTATTCAGATACAGAATAGCGAAATCTGTTTGAAATGTGCTCCTTCAGAAGAGTTCTCCATATTAAAAAAAGAACAAACACAAAATCAAGCCACAAAACCAAACCATTAATTACTCAAGAATATTGGTGCACAGGTACCCATTTTGAATAAGAGACAATATGTCAACATGAAATGATCACTTTTAAAAAAACAATGCAACACTGTAGCATTATTGCCTTTGTGCTTGCAAGTTTGAGAGTCTTTGTTCTTCTACTTTCCTTCTCTGCTGAACATGAAGAGATTACACTCTTCATGGAACAAGTACAAAGATAATCTTTATTGATGAAGTTGGAAGAGAAGCATAGATAGGATGAAAGATCCTGCCTACTTGGGAAGGAAAGCCTGTGTTATGGCTTAGGCACATTATTGTCTCCAATTTTTACACTTACCTCTCATGCCAAGAATTTGTTTAATAAAAGTAATAGTTGGAATAACATTAAATATACTTGTGAAAACTAAAATCCATCCTAAATGCACTTTTTAGATCAGCTATTTAGTACATTACATTTGATACTGTCCATGTGATGTCTTTCTGTAACACAGATATGCAGTTACCAAAACTCAAGACCCTGTTTACTAATCCAATTGCTCTAAAAATAATTTCTTTATTTTCACAAAATACCTTTTTAAATTCTTCTTCTTTATCACTGCCCTTGCTATCATCACTTCGAGGTCCTTCAGCAGTTTTTTCTTTCTCCTTTTCTTTTTTTTCAAATGCTATATGTTTTCCTGTAAATTAAATAAAAAAGTAATTTATATATATTCTGCTTTAAAGCATGCTATCCCCTCATTGGAGGCAAAACAATATTGATTTTTATTTTAGTAATACCTGGATCACCAAAAATTGGTTTTATTTCATGATACTTTTTCACACCAGGAATGTGGTTAAGAGTCCAGCTTATAAGCCTTAGCTTAGCAAACACTGTGCAAGACCAATCTGTTACTAAAGATGGATAGGCAGACATGAATACTTCAGTGAAAACGGCAAAAAACCCCAAAATCAGTATAAAAAAATTAACAAAAGACAGAGAAGTATTTTTGTGTCTTTTTTTTCCTATTTGCATGCAGTTGAACCACCTGGAGTATTGACTCTACCTATGCCTCTTTAGCTGGGGAAACCTGAACCCAGAAGGAAAAAATTCCATGAAAGAAAAGAGCTCCATTACTGATTAAGCCTCAAAATAAATTTTTCCTTAAAACATTTTTTTCTTCCATATATAAACTATTTCTCTTGTAATAGTATGGGATCTTCTAAAATCTTTGTAAGACATCCCAAAGAACTGGGAACCAGCCATACAGTGTCACAGCTGACTATACTAATTTAAACTGATCAGACAGTAAAGCACATAAATCTACTGCAGCAGGAAAGTTAAAAACAGAGGGACAGTACCAAACAGCTGACAGAGCTGAGAAGAGAGGAACTCTGGATTTCACTTACAGATGGGGAATGTGAAGTGGGAGAGTTATGATGAGTGACTGAGAGAAATGGAACTTGAATGTCCTTCCTCTAGAGCAAATACTTTGCTAATCTAAACAAAAGGCCAGCTTTTAACTCTAGAAACCCCATCAAGACTAAATTACCTCCATATTTCATGAGCTAGTGGTTTAGTTTAACAGTGGTTAAAGAAGGCAGAACTATGACACAGATGAAATGGTAGTGGGAGGGAGAAGTCTGAAACAAATTAGCTAAAATAGATCAGTTTTGATTAAAAACTAGCTAAGTCTACAAAACTTTTTATTTAAATAAGAAACATTAACTACCTTGTGGTTCTGAGGACTTAGGAGATGGAAATTCATAATTCTTTTCTAAGAGATCTATTAAATATTGAACGGCATCTTCGACGTGCATGCTTTTGCTGTTCAATAACTCAGCACATTCTTTGGTATAAGTCTGTCAAATAAAAATATCAATGCATTGTTTTAGTATCACTGATTATCTTATTACTGTTTCTCCTCATGGAGAGTCAAAACATTTCCCTAAATACTGCATTAATCAGACCAAAACTATTTCAATGAAACATATATATTTATTAAAAACTACTTGTATATTTATAAAAACTTCTGTTGTATTATCATTATATTTTTAAGGCCTAAAATACCCCCATATTTGAAAATAAAGGTACTTTTAGGTGCTCAAAAAAAATCCTGAATATTGAAAGGAGGTCACAGTCTGAATCTGAAACTACCCAAATACTGTTTCAACTGCCCTTAATGATTTCATTTACTTGCACTGATTTGATAATTAATATATTTTTAGCCTATTTTGGAATGAGAAAACTTTCAGACTTTCAAATATACTTGTTGGAAGGCATTTTTGCTTTCTCCTTAAAAACAACAATGTGGAAAATATAGGGGGGGAAAAAGGCCGTATATGTCTGACGTCCATACACAAAAAATCTCATCTAAGTACAAAGGACCTAAATAAGATTATCAATGAAATACTACAGCTTAATTATCTCAAATGCCAAAGAACCAATGTATCTTCATATAAAATGTTTTAACCACAATAACTTAATAACAAACCTCTGTATTTCCACACAGAGAATTTTTAGTTTTACTTTCTTTTACTAAGGCATTTTTTCTAACATGCCCTAGAATTCAAGTTAAAAGATGTAAAGTGGCACACACCTCATTTTCATTCAACAGATCCTCTGGTTTGATGGAATCATCTGCTGGTAAGCTAACTAAAGAAGTACTTGCTATTTCTTTCAATATTGAACCAATCTGCACGTCACTTATAACAGTAATCTAAAAAGAGAAAATCACATTAATACTACACACTTATCTTTAAAGCACAATGTATTTTATTTTAGAGAGCTCTAACAGATAAAAAGTGTTCTGCAGAAAAATAAATGCAAGAATGCTGCAGAGCAGAAAACCCTCTAAGAAAGTGAATAATAACAAGAGTTATGGTAACTTAAGGGTTATTTACAATGGCCAGACTCCCAAAGAATCCTGGCTGGTTTAACTGCAGTTTTAGGCAGACAGGCAGTAACAAAAAGCCAGATCCCAGATCATTCCTGTCATGCAAGATACACTGCTTCTAGATTAAATAAAAAGAGTCATAGAACAAGTTACATCAATATAATTGGATTCTTGTTCATGATCTTACTGGCCACAAGTCTAGCAGCAAGGCAAGGGGAGGGTCTACTGTAAATTGCTTGATGGGTTAATCTTCAGTCCTCCTCCTCCTTTTAGTCAACACAGTTTTTTGCTAGGTATTTAATTCTAAATTGTAGCATTATTTGTATACAGTCAACTACACTGAATTGTTTTTGCCGTGGTAGAATCCAAGTAAAAATGACTTCTGTCCATCTTTTAATCTTTTATCTGAAGTATCTGTGATAGTCCATCTTGTTTTTCACAATATACCTCATCCTTCTGTTTCACATCAGTTTTTTCCTATTTGACCTCTAATACCCTTTCACAGTAATCAAAAGTCTAACCAAGGTTAATTTTTTTAAATGATATGGGAGGGAGAAGTAAAAAAAAAAAAAAATGCATACAACCTAAATATTTAAGGAAAATAGTGCTTTTGCATAAAAACATGGTTATTTTAGATATACTCAGACTTACAAAACTGTTCATTTCTGATACAGATAACCTTCTTCCAGTTTTGGGTTTCAGTAGCAAACAAAGCATTGATCATAATTATGATTTTCTGCCATACATAAAAAGAACGAGATACCCTGACCAGCAACTAAAAAATCTCCTACCACAGGAGGTACAATTTACAATATTCATAGAGGAGATAATAGTCACACAGTTTAACCATCAAGCCAGAAGGGCAATCTGACTGTCACGGTAAATTCTTCAGAGAAAACAAGCCAATCCTGGTCCTCAAGCATATTAAATCATAGAATTCATGGAATACCAAGTTGAATGAGGACTTCAAAGATCATCTGGTCCAACCTTTCTTGGCAAAAACACATCCCAGACGAGATGGCCCAGCACCCTGTCCATATGAGTCTTAAAATTGTCCAACACTGGGGAATCTACCACTTCCAGTGGGAGATTATTTCAGTGGCTGACTGTTCTCATTGCAAAAAATATTCCTCTTGTGTCAAATTGGAATCTCTCCATGAGTAACTTACACCCATTATTCCCCTTCTTTTCCATGTAAATAATTTTAAAATGGGAGTCCCCATCTTCTCTGCAGCCAATCTTCAAATATTACACCATAATGATAAGGTCTTACCTAAGCCTTCTTTACTCAAGGCCAAAAGATATTTCTCTCAACCTTTCCTCCGTTTTCAGGCTTCCCAGTCCTTTGATCATCATTGTGGCCCTTCCCTGAACCCTCTCCAAATCTCTTCTGTACAGTAGGGATGAAAACTGAATACGGTTCCAGGTTTGGCCTCACCAGCACCGAGTAGAGGAGGATGGTGATTTGTTGGTGATTAACTGCTGGTTAATGCAACCCAGCATCCTGCTGACTTTCTTTTTTGAAGCAGCATTCTGTTCATTCATACAGAACTTGTTATCCACAAGGGTGCCCAGGTCCTTTTTCACAGAGCTGTTCCCCAGCCAGGTAGATCCCAGCCTATGCTGCACTCCTGTACTATGTCTGCCCAGGTACAAGACCTTACATTGTCCTTGCTGAACTTTGTCAGGTTCTTGTTAGTCCACTCCTCATGCCTATTCAGGTCTTCCTGCAGGGTGGCTCTCCACTTTGCATTTAGCTTGGTGACATCAGCAAACTTTGTCAGGATACCCTTGATCCCATCATCCAGATTACTTATGTACATATTAAATATGAAACCAAATGAATTCGGAAATTATGTGACAAATACCAAGAGGGTAAAAAAGCACAGAGCAACATGCACAGAACTGTGAGGAAAAAGCGTATTTTCCTTCATTATTTTATAAAATGCACAAAGAGGACAGAGTTTCACAACATGCCTGCTATGAATAGAGTTCATGTTCCGAAGTTCTCCACTCAACAGTTTTTACATGAAAGTATCTTTTATGAAGCCACAGTCAAGGACAAGCACTCAAAGACAGGCATTGATTCTGAAAATCAGAGTGAAAACCCCAGAATCTGAAGACAAGAAGTGGAAATAGATTCTATTTTGAGGACAGAAGCAAAAATCAAACATATGATGGCAATAACAGGAGAGAATCATTGAGTATATCCCTGCTCCAAAAAAGCAACCTGTTCTAAAAAGCAACAAAATTTCTATGTATGGTACAAAAATAAGTACAGATTGTGTTCTAATATGAAAAACAGTGTCCTAGAAATAATTTCTGTAAGCTTATAGTTTTATTTATATAATAAGCATTTACCCTTCTCAAAACTTGTCTAAATACATGCAGAACTTTTTCAGCTTCTTGAAAGAAAGTTTCCAGCGTGACAGATGACCAAGTCAACAAGGTAAGTCCTTGCCTCAGCACACCTTCCATCTAAGCATAAAGATATAATTTAATAGATTAAAAAATTTAAAACAAGTGTTATTATTATTAGAATCACTAACATTGCTTTTAAAACAGAGTGGTGTGCAAGGGAGGTTACAAGTTTCCAACAAAAACGGTCAAAGCAATGTATGCAATCATGCAAGAAAGGAAGGGAGGGTAGTGCATACTACAGCCTCAGGTTTTTTGTTTCTCACGCTTCTGTCCAACTTTGCAGTTATACAAACTTACACAAACTCTGCAACCTTTTGATGTGACTACTTACAACCAAAACGGGGAGAGTTATTTAGAGGAGTCACATACATACACTTGTAAATGTCTGGCAAAACAAAATGGGCTGTGGGATAGACATTCTGCATGTCCAATAAAACTGTACCTTTAGCGTAGCATAAAACATCTTAGTGTAGCATTCTACGCCACTGAATTTACAAGGTTAATTATTCTCTCCAAGCAAACTTTCATGTCAAAGCCAGAGATTTGTGGAGATAAATAGACCTCAAAGACCATATCTTTTTTTCTACTGGTCTTCTATCTCATAAGCACTAAGATTATTTGATTGTAAAACACATTATTTGAGAACTGTATGAAGGATGCAAAGAACAAATTTTTAGTCTTAAAGGTCTCAGTAAAATCCATTAAGCTGACAACATGCAGATCCATCTAAATATTTCAGAACTATAAATTATTGAGTTACTTTAACTTCTTATGAGGTATACTGAAGTGCATGCAGCAATACCAACCTTTTCAATTTGTGGTGACAACAGATTTACAAACACATTTGGTGTTGCTTTACGCAAATCTTCATAAGATTGGACGAGAGCCTGTTGATTGTAAGAAATGGTAGTATCAAGCAGAATATTTCAAGCATTTCTTTACTCAAGAAAACAAATTGTTATACAATCAAATCATCTGAAAAAGATATTGAAAGTGGCACAGTGCTGTATTTGAAAACAACTGTAGAATTTTACACAGACATTATATACCTATGAACATAATTTCCGGGATGCAATGAATTTGTATCATGCTGCAGAAGGAGGAATGAAAGCCACCTTTGTGCAACATTTTCTTAAGGCATAAAGCCAGAAAAAGAATGATCTTTCTCTAGACTAAAGACAGCTTGGGCTTTAGTGACCATAACTTGAAATATCCTCTTAAAATTGAATACCATATGGTTTAGATGCTTAAGTCAGGTGTGAACTCAGTTTTAAAATATCCTCTTGCCTTATGCCATATGCACACACACCGAGAAAAGTTTTGTATGATGGACCTCATCCACAAGATACAGGCTCCTTGAAATAACACCATAGAGGAGACTGCAATAGGTATTACAAATATAACTTCTCTTGCAGGTAACCTGCAAAATTCTTCACATTTCTGTGGCTCACCATATATTCCAAACCAGAAAAACTACAATATTTCTTCTCAAAAACTCTAAAAACCTACATTTTACTGGTTTTCAAACTGTGAAAACTTTTTGTATAGCTTAAATTATTTCATGACCAAAGCATGTTTAGTGTGCCATTGGGTATATGAAGTATATATTCTTATATTTAAGTATCTACCAGCCCACACATGACCTAGTAGGGGGTTTTCAAATGAGATTTTCTATGTCCACCTGTACATTCTGCAAACTTACCTTAAAATACCTCTTACCCAGCTTTAATCTTTAGCTATAGAAAAAAATCCATGTTTAAACACATTTTCTTCTTAATTTTTTTAAACAGCAATCATGATACTTTTCAAGTTTACCTCCAACTGCAACCTGTTTGACTTCAATTTATTTTCTATTATCGCTATCTTGACTGCTTGCTCTGGTACTTCCAGACCCAACTTTATCATACATTTTGTCTCTCGCACAATCTCTAGAATTTGGGGATCAAAATTAACCAGGAACTTCTCAGTTGTAGGATGACGCACAAATATCGTGGATTGTAAGGCTGCAAAGACATTCTATTATCAGTTTCTCAGACAAACAATTGTTTAAATTCTATAAATGATTATGAAATCCAGATTTCTAAAATTACAATATAGTAATTAAGTGTATAGGGTTAGTTGTGAAATAGCTTCATGTTGTTTTCGGTTAAAGAAAATACACAACCGACTTCCATCATTTTAATTTTCTGCCCTTCTCTCCATAAACTAAACAAGCCTCAGATCCAGTCTTATTTGTGTCATAATTTTTCTCAGCTCAAGTTAAAAAATTCTGAAACTAATTCTCTAAGGACCAGAAAATAAAACGCTTGAGTCTCAAACATTTCTAGGCTTAAGTAATGTTTGTCCTTAGAGGGACTGGGGCAATACAACCTAATGAATTATTACACCAAAAAAACCCCCCAGAAATAATTATTAAGTATTACACATAGAGAATTTAAATACCAAAGTTATCTGTGTCTTAAATTTGTGTCACTGATGTTTACAATCATCTGTTGAATAGTGTACCAAATTTGCAATCCTCTGCATCAAAACCAAGTATCAAGGCCAGTAAGGCATTGAGACTGTATTTCTGAGTCTGCTAATTGGATCATGTCTAACTTGCACATTTTAAGGGTAAATGAGGCTTTAAAAAGTATCTGATTCAATTTATGTTAACTTTGTATTCATCAACAATTTGAAGAGGCAAGTACATATTTAATTACTTACGATATTGTAATTGTGAAATTTCCTTCATCCATGCGCTATGATAGACTACCTCAAACTCCACCAATACATATGCAAGTTTGTTGTATGATTGAACAACTGCTTTACCTTCTGGACTTGTCAAGATATCTGAATGTTTCTATTAAAACAGAGTATATTCAAATTAAAACCATACCCAAAACTGCCCATACCACTTGGGTTTTTCTCAGTTTAACTATTGTCTATACATAGGTTAATACTAGGAATTATACTGACAGAGTTCTTAAAAATTGTATCAAATATTTATGATTCAAATTTCCAGGGCAATAAAGTCAGTAAGAACTTCTGAGGAATAAATACTAAATATTTAACATCAGTAAGAGCCATTACTTTAATATATTGTCATAAATATCTGCAATTCACAGTGAAATGGATACTCAGTTCTACTCCAAATTGAATAACTGAAAATTTATTGTAAAAGTTTCCTCTTTTAATAAGTAATGATATTTATGCCTGTTTTCATTGGAACAGATTTAAATGACCATTATTCACATCTGAGGGAAACAGTAAAGTGAAAACCTTTCTCACATAGAAGTTAACTTGGCATGAGACCACCCTAGATGCTTTGTAGGACAATCACTCAAATATTTCAAGAATTCTTCAAGGTTATTTTCAACTGAAATAGTCTAGTCTGTTTTATTCCAACACTACATCTTGGATCTAAAACAAGGGTTACTGCAGAGCATTATAAACATGCAAAGAAAAAATGTTGCTTAGCATGTAACAAGTGACGAAATTATAACCAGAAACTTCATGATTACTCTACTGAAGTAGGACAGTTCACTGTTAAACAGAACTCCTAATTTTTTGGCACATCAACTTACATGGAAATAGGTGATTGGTTCATTTATCCTTCTGAAAAGCTGTCTCACCCACAGTATCTTTCCTGCAGTAGGTGGCATGTTTCGAGAAAGAGGAGGGTCATCTTTCTGGGTTTGGTAAAGCTACAGTAAGAACAATATCATTAAACATAAGTATTAAAAAATATATTGAAATGCTGAACTGTTTTCTCTGGCACCACAATTTCTTCCTCCTCCCAAACAGATTAAATTTACGTGTAGTCACACAACAGTTCATGGAGAGAAAAACTTATTTCGTCCCTGACTTGGTACACTTCCAAGATACACACATATCAACGCTGGTACCTCTCCTGTCTCCATTATCTGATGCTGTTTCTCAGCCGTGCTAACTTTTGACAGAGTCCTGAATACCTCAAAAGGCATTGACAACCCCAGGGCTGAGCAGCCAGTATTCAGGATCAAGTCTGACACCTGGCTTTGAAGCCATCTACTGTGAAAGCAAGCTATTTAAGGAGGTGGTGTCAGGAGAACCCTCGTGGGGCTTTTCCTCCTTTACTTGGGAACTGGCCTCAGGAGAGGCCCAAGCTAGATTGTTAACTGAGAGCTTCTTCTTGAGTAGAAACACCAACACTGGTCTTCAGACACACATATCTGACTATTATATAACATTTCAGGACATAATTATTCTTGTGGGTCCCTTCCAAATAATTTAGCATTTTGTGATATGTACTTTTCTACTAATTTCTAATCAAAATGCATGTAGGTACTCCTGGATACACAGTCCATGCTTTTATCTGTGCCTAAGATGAGAAAAAATGTACCCTGCTCATTGAATGGCTGCATTACAATAAAAAACAAAAAAAGGCCTAAAATTATACTGTACAAAAGTTGCATTGACAAAGTATTCAATCACTTTAGAACCAGCATTGCAGTAGGAGCGATTTTTTATTAGAAATAACTTGCTTGGCAAAGATAAAAGGCAATCTAGTAATAACTAATAAATAGTTAGAACTAGTCAGTAGAATCAAGACATATTCTTTGGCAGAAGAAAGGAGTATTTGTATCCACCCAACTCGAGGCATGTGAACTCAGGCTGTGGCAACACAGACTCTGTGATGGCACAACTCCTCACTAACTAGCATGTCTTCTTAGTCCTACCTTGTCTCTGGCACAGTCCCAAACAAAGAAATCCAAGTAGCTTCATGGTGACCATGAGAGGAGCTGACCCGGATGAAACCCTCTCAGTAAATGTATCCATTTTTCTTTTGCTTGGGAAAATACAGCTAAGGGTGGGCTACATGATTTTTTAAAGCCAGCTGAAAATCTGTTCATCTAGTTAGGCCAGTAATCAGGGGGTCAGGGATTGTTACACACAGTGTGTGGTAGGGAAAGGACACCGTACAGAGTGGTTCAGAGCAGCTTTGCTAGGCTACAGTTTTAAGTCACTGTTTGGAGGAAAAATTTTCTAATAAGTGCAGAGTTTATAGATATCGGCTTCTTGTGCAAACTTCTATCTTACAAAATGTAAACATCTCAAAAAAAATTTAACAGTCTGGTTTTCCTGATTCCCTTTACACTCATTGAAGAAAAACAATCATTTGGAGGGAATTATTTCAATCTCCAGGACACTATATAAAATTGATGAGATTAACTCACTCTAGAGTAATTATTTTTTTCTTTCTTGAGTAGAAAGGGAGCTTGGACATCTAGTTCTGATGCAAAGGTATATTTTACAGACAAAGTAAAAGTTTACAGTCAAGTGATACAAACAGTTGCCAGAACTTGATTCTCATTTATACTTCACCCAGGGTGCAGCACAAAAATAATGAAAAATTACTTCATAATGAACATAAATGCAATTCACTGATATTTTATATGTATTTTATGTTGCCACAGCATTTGATAATAACTACTTATAAATGCAAATTAACAGTGGAAGCTTCATTTAATAAAAAATCCAAAAGGTACATGCAAGCAATGTATACAGCCAGTTAAGAACATTCTTCTATAAATTTAATTGATGAAGGCATAACAGAAAATATTTTGGCTTATAAAGTAAAATTGTGATGACAAATTTGCCTTCAAGAGCGGTTGTGTCTCTTGTGTTGCCCACCCACTAAGGCCTGTTTTCTGTAACAGGAAAACAGAAGTAGGATAAATTGAGAATTGGAGGTAAATTAGTGAAATAGAATAAATAAAAAATATTCCTATTAAAATGCTTACTCCTATTTTAACACGATGTTTACAACTTACTGAAAGGAAATTAAATACCTTTTTAGTAGCTTCAAGTTCTGCTACAAAATGTTGAAGAATACAACCAACTGTATTTGCTGTTTCTTCTTGAAGGCATGGCATATTCAGATTTTGAAACCTGCATTAAAAATTAGTACCCAAAATGACATTTCTGAAATAATAACTGCTTTAATTTATTTGGGAGTATATGAACATTGCATGAAGTGAAATAAGCGAAAAAAAATCTAAGAAATTATTTTGAATATGGAAAACTTTTTTGCTTTGAGGAAGTTTAAAATTTCTGCCCTGGTGGATAATTTGGTTGTTGTTGCTGAGTAAGTTTTAGGCTTTTCCTTTAGTATCCTCTTGTGTATAAATATATTCTAATGTAATTAAGAAACAGATTGATTTCCATAAGAAAGATAAAATATATACTTTACTGATATTCTGGACCACATAATCATGATAATGAAAAATTCTCAATTAGGCCCTTTGTTCTAAAATTTGCTGGGCTCTTTAAATTGTGCTAATCAGTAATTTCAAGTTATTTAAAAATATTTTAAAACATAGTTGCCAATACCTTTTAAGTAACTGAAGTGAATTCTGTGAAGACACAATTTTCCGAAAACAGGTACGCATAAAAGTCTGTAGCTGTGTCTGAAAAATACAAAATTCAGGGTGTTTTTTCAGGTCAGAGAATAGTATTTTGATGATATTTTCTTAACATAGTAGCATTTGAAAGTATTACTACTTAAAGCACAAAATAGCAGCCTTCATCAGGCCATGATTAATATAATTAATAAATAGCTAGTTTCAGTCAAATAATCTCTAAAATGTCACACAATTCTACGAAATAAACAAATTAGTTGCAACTTTGACTGCCCAAAATCTGACCACATTTCTTCAGGCTAATAAACACCTTCCACATACATCATTCTCTCAGGTTTCATAATTTTTGTCATTTTGGCAGAAGAGTGAAAATCATCCGTGAGGATGACTGTTTGATATATTTTACACCTTCCTTTGAAAGAAGGAGAAGGAATGGAAGAAGCCTCCCTCCAGATAAACACAAAGCCCATGCTGGTTAGAAGAACAATGAGCCTATGCACAATCCAAAGTCTCACTGATGATCAGTTCGATAGATTCTTTCTCAAGTAAGTTTGAGTAAGTCATAATATTACTTACCTCTAAACGTTCAACTTCTGACATGAATTTCACAAAATCCACATCAAATTCTGTTACTTGTGGATCAAGGTTGTCATATGGTTTCTTTTGAAAAATGTGGTAGATGTTTTTGAATTTAACAGCCATAAGATCTATACCTTCAACTGCACACTGAGTCAGAGCATTAAAATTCTCTTCTATGGCTATCATCTTCATTATCTGAAATAAAGATATTATATTCATGCTCGTGATGAATTTTTCGTTATTTCCTCTATAAACTAAAACCTGAGCAAAATAAAATAAGCAATAGCCACTCCTCTAGTCACTGCATTCACAAACGTGTTGTTTCTGAGTCAAGTATCTTCAATACTTGAAGCATGGTTAATTCAGTTTTCAAGATCAGCTCTTACCACAACTCCACACCAAGTAAAATGTTTTATGTTTTGCTGCTAGATCCAATAGGACAATATGGAAAATGAGGTAAAATATGGCATGTACAAACTGATGACAAAAACTTATCTCAAAGAATAAAAACACCCAACCCTACAAATTAGTATGTATATTGAGTGATGAAGAAGTACTTCAAAGACTCACAGAATTCCTACCTTGAGACAATTATCATCTTATCACTTGTCTGATCTTATTCTGTACCAAGAAGCACCTACTACCTTTTCCATTCAGGAATGTTAGTTTAAAATCCCTTCACTGCATTACCGAGCTAAATACTAAGATGACACCAAGCAGCAGAATTATCTGAAGAATTGTTTGGCAGTAAACATGAGTTTTTAATGTTATTCAAAAAAAGCAAGAGTGTGTTATTTCTCACATAATTTTAAACCTCTTAAAATAATGATCTAAGTCTAGATCAATCAGGTTATTTCTCTCCACACTAAAAGAGATAAATTAACAAGTTGAGAAGGCAGTTGTGAGGTAATAGCATCAAGCATTGGGATGACTTACTATGTGGAAGTGCCTACATTCTCTCAACAGAAGGTTACAGACTCTTTTAAAGGATAATTAAGAGAATGTTTGTTGGCAAGCATCCAGTTTCTTTGTTCTTTGTAAACTGTTCTTTGGAGAGACGCTTCTTTACCAGTAATAACAGCATCCAATATACTCACTTTTTCTAATCTCCTACAAAAAGCTTCAGATTTTCCAAAAATGTACACTTCTGATACTTCCAATGCCTTTTCTCCTAGACTTGCCAAAGTCTCTTGCTTAGATTCACGGAAGCATTTCTGATATTCTTTCAACAGACTTATGCATTCCTAAAAAGTGAAGGAATAAATACCATATTCATTATGCTATGCTGATGAGTGAGTGACTAGAGTACTCAAATCTATTGACATTCCAAACCATTAGTTATTGCCTAATCTGGTTTCAGTCAACAGGCAACAACAACTTAAACACAGTGGTTTTCTTTCAGTATCTGAAGAAAGCATTTGCAACACATGAATGAACACACAGTAGTACAGCACAGTGAACCAGAGAGTGGTGGTGAATAGTGATGCATCCAGTTTGCAGCCAGTCACTACTGGTGTCCCCAGGGATCAGTGTTGGGCCCAGTCTTGTTTAATATCTTCAGTGATGATGTGGATAAAGGGATTGAGCCCACCATCAGCCAATTTGCAGATGTGGGTGTCAGTGTCGATCTGCTGGAGGGTAGGAGGGCTCTGCAGAGGGACATGGACAGGCTGAATCCAACAGTTTTATGTCTAACAAGACCAAGTGCTGTGTCCTGCACTTTGGCCACGACAACCACCCTGCAGCACTACAGGCTAGGGACAGAGTGGCTGGACAGTGGCCAGGCAGAAAGGAACCTGGGGTGTTGTGGTCGGGGTTCTTGTTGGAGTGAAACAGATGAAGAAACAGGAATGGCCTTTGAGAGGGTTTCACAGGGATGTTTATTTCAGCCACACGTGAGCACAGTCCTGGAGTTCAGAGGCAAAGGCATTGGTCTGGGGCTTTGGGTTAGGTACATGGAGGTTTTAATTTTACAAGGGTGGGGTTAGGGCATAGGGGCCAACAGGGAAGCAGGGTGGGAGTGACCAAAAGGCTGACAGACAGAGAGAGGGCAGGGGGCTGTCCTAAGGAACAGAACAAGGGTTGTCTTGACCTGATAGAACAGGATTTGTTATCAAAAGGAGATAACTGAGAGGCTTATCCTATCTTTCTAACTGGGAGTGCCTTTCAAGGTTTCCACACTGGGGGTACTGGTTGATGGCAGACTGAGCTTGAGCCATCAGTGTGCTCACATGTCCAAGAAGGCCAATGGCATCGTGGCCTCTATCAGCAACAGGGTGGCCAGCAGGACTAGGGAAGTGATTCTTCCCCTGTATTCTATGCCTTTTGGGGAAGATAGGAACTCAGTAACAACTGAGGTCTGGAGAAGGTAGAAATGAAGTTAACATTGGCAACCAGTATTCCCAAGCTGCACACATTTTGCGATAGCATATTGCATTCGCCTAATTTGCTCTTAATAGGTCACCATCAAATGAAGTAGAGGAAGACTATCTTAACACTGACCTTTCATGGTATGCCAAGGAAATCTTGTATGGAAAAGAGCTACTGTACCAAAGTCAGGGTCTATCCAAATACCAGATTTTCAATGGTAGAGGAAGATGGTACCATATCTGAGCTATACCCTCCTCCATAGCCCCTCATCCCCAAGATGGAAAAATGTGTAATATGAATTCCTTGGTTGCACGTAAACAAAAGATGCCAATTCCAAGGTCAGTGACAGACCACACTGATAAAGTTGAAGCTATTGTAATTTCAACAATGCCATGGGCTAAGAATTGGGAAAACATTCAAAGCATCATGAAACAAAAAAATGCCAAGAGCTGTGAAGCACTTGATACATATTGATATGGACTTCCTTATTATATCAACAGGTAATCAATAAGTTGGACATGTAAATAATAAAACATCAAAATACAAACATTGATTTTTCCAATGACTACTGGCGTCTCCTGATCCCAGACTCGATTCAAGCCAGCATCTGTAATGTATGCTTTACACGTTGTGACCATTTGGTTTGTAACCTAGGGCAGACAAATGAAAAAAGTTTAACAGTAATTTTAAACTTAACAGTAAATTTGCCTGTTTCACAAAATCTGATAAAATTGTCATACACATGTGTTAATACTATCAGATTTGGAATAAATCTCACTTGTGGACATAATAGTGGCTAAAAATATATCCAATATATACAACTAACATCCTATAAAAACTCTGAGAACATTCCCAGAAATATATGCAAGTCCCAGGACATACTTTGTATGTCCTGTAAGTTCAGCAATACATAAATACAGAATGTTATCAATCAAAATTCAAGAACAAAAGGAATTTATTGAATTCCAGCTATTCTTCACTTACACTGTTGTCTTTACACTTGCAGCACTTAAAGACTGCTCTTAAAGAATTTTGCATCTTAGCAGTATGGCTTTACCTTTATTTCCTGTGGTTACAAAAAGGAAAAAAACATTCTTTACTTCTCAACCACAAAAATCCAAAGTTAGTAATGACAGAAAGAGATGAGTATGTGCAGATATAGAAGATATACCACAGAGAGCAGCTACGAGTAGACAATTTTTTTGTCTGTTAAATAATATGAACAATTCAAAACAATTCTCCTGATGATGCCATTTGGGCTTTGCCATTTTTCTTTTATACGTTCTCTGTATTTTCCACACATATATTTGTAACTCTGTCACCTATTTTATTAGTAGCCATGTTTTCCATGACTTTTCCATGGTCTTTCCCTAAGCAGAAAGACAAAACAAATTCCAGAACTCCAACCCCCGGGGGTACAAGGCCCCAGTGTTATCTTGGTTCTTCCTGGGAGCCAAGGCTGAGAACAACCCTTGGAGATACATTCTAATGGACAAAGCACAGCTAGTGCTGAAGGGGGGTGCTCCACAGAAGGGGCTTGACTTGGGGGAGAATTGCATCACCACTTGTCCTCCTTTTTATCAATTATGCTAATTTCCTAAAACCTATAAATGTGTACTCCTCTCTGTAGGGGTGGGCTTTTGTGGACATCTTTCCATAACTGCCTCTGAAGGCCCTCATTAGGGATCTTCTTTTATATTACGTCCTTACTAAAATTATCTCCAGTTTCATTTCTAGGCTGGGAAAAAGGCAACACTGACATGAGAGTACTGTAAAGCAGATCTTAAGTACCTCTAATGAAAAAAGACCAGAAACTCCCATACCAAAGGCAGCCTGAAACATTAAGAAAATTATTGATGAAGCTGGAGATAGGACCTCCAGCATCACTTCTAATGATCATTAACTGGAAACAAACAGTAAATAGGGACCTTAAACCACTGGATTAAAATACAGACATTTCCTTGCTATTTCAAGCATAGCTTCATGTAACCAGTTTGTTATTAGCCTCTGTAGTGAAATACTCACTCCCTTAGACCATTAAATAATAGACAGTAGCAAGAGACAATATGCAAACCTACAAAGACCTATTATATGACAGGTAATATATACTAACATGATATATAGGAAACAGTCACAGCCATGAACAGATACAGATTCAAAAGGGCACATACTTCTTTATATCCTAGTTCAAATTGAAATGTAACAAAATTTTTTGCTGAACCCCATGGTGTAAGGAAACAAAAAATATGTGTCCGTGTACTGTGCATCTACTGTGAATTTCCCCTGAATGCTTACTGCAGTGGTTTAGTTATGAATTATTTCTTTGCTATAAAACCATTATACAAACCATCTTTGCATGCAGTGAATGCCTGGATTCTGAAAAAGGTATTGGTGTAAACACATAGCCAGTTTTATTTTCTCTTTAAGGAGGGAAAGTTTATGATCTGAAATTCAATTAACTTTCAAGTATGACCTGCTTCAGAAAACATGAAGCTTTTATCTTTCACACTTTTTGGAGGAGCAGCCTAGTCAGGTTCATGGCCATCTGCAATTAGGTCTTCTAGGCTGAGAATAAAAGAGCCTTTGTGGATTCTGTGATTTAGGAAACAACTGATCAGATTAATTCAGATCAGAAGATGAATCAAGAATATTAAAAGATTAATACTGATGAACCAAGAACAAACGATGTTTCTTTCAGACAAAAGTCTGTAATCCAAATTTAAGCCTCTCAAGATCAACAGTGTTCTCTTCCTTTCTCGTGCAGAACCCCAATATTTACTAACATTTTTAAACAAAGGTTCTACTCATTTAAACAAAATTAATTTTTCTTCTGAAAAGTCATACAATTTTTGTAATTATTATTTTGTTTAATATACTTACCTTGATAAGCAATGATGTAATTTTATCAGAAGTATTGTAATATTTTGAAACACGGTGAATCATTTGTACAGTCTTCATCAAGTTTGGTATTCCCTGTGTCATTAATACCTCAAAAGCAGAGTTTCAAGAAAAAATTTACTTCCTATTCTTAGCAACTATATTTCCATTCTATTGACATCTTCTAAATTATATATTTCCCTCAGTCACATGAATCAGTCTTTAAAATGTCATGGCATCTTACCAAAAGTTTTCTTATGAAGAAAGACTAACTATGCTCAAAAAGATTTCAAACATCAACTAACAAGAACAATAAATAGCTACATGTCATCATTGGCTAAGAAATGACATTAAAGCTGTTACACGATAAAGTAACTGTAATATCCTATTTTGATGAACAAAACTGAACACTGATTCAAAATTCAAAAGTTGCATTTTTTGGTGCAATAGGAAGCACTTTTCTGACAACAATTGTCTGCGATGGATGCTTTTGTTTTCCTTCAGGTAAGGATGCTAATGTACTTTCATTGTGATAATCTTTACATAAAATATTTCATTCTGGCACTTCAGAAAACTCATTAAATAATTATCACAATGTTCGTTTCATTAACAAATGCCTTCAAGCATCATATCAAACATCTAAATCTTTAACATTGATTTCACAAAACATGTGAATGTTGTTAAAATCATACTGTGGCATTGAAAGTACTCAGTAGCTCAAACACTGCCGAAGTATTTTGGTGGGGGGAAAAAAACAAAAGAAAAGGTAAAACATTTTAATTCATTAACATTATCAGGGACTTGTCAAAGTTTCAATTCAGAACATCAAGAAAGAAATTTTGGCTGTCACCCCTCAATGGAGAAGCCAAGCTCTTGTAATTAACTTTGAGTTGCAAACTTAAACCCATACTGTGAATAGACATAGAAGGCATTTGCATTTAGCAAGAGTGTGAAATAAATGCTATATAGTACAAAAACAACTATCTATGCCCATATTGTTCATCACCAACACCACCCCTGACATGGAATCAGGAGATTCTGAGTCTACAGGTTTACTTTTCCAATCCCTGACAAAAAATAAAACCCTGAATACAGTATTGCATAGAAATTTCTCTGATTCAAAGCCTTCAGTTAAATATTCAGTCTGAATTTTCGTATAGTAACCTACTTCATCACAAATGTCACTGTGAGGTACTGTGTACACTAAATGCCATACTTTATGCACATACCAAATATCATCATAAATCCACGTGTATGCCATTCCTCATTCACTAAAATTTTAAAGAGCTGTCCATACCAGATACTAAATGCAACTCTACGCAGAATGAAGGTCTGTTTAAAACAGGATATATTTAGCATGGAAATAATTGTTTTAAAGCTGAATAATAGAAAATAATAGAAAATTCGACCTAAATTAACAAAATCTCATGTATCCAAATTGCCCTAGACTAAACACAGAACTCTAATTAACCATCCTGTATTAGTAAAATTATCATCTCTTCAATGGGTTTGCACCCACTAATGTCTGTCTCTGTTTATGATACAAAGAATTGTATCTTCATAACACCTATGAAGTAGTTCATCATTATGGCCTGGTACCTGGCACCCTCTAGTGATACTTTGAAGAGCTGAAGATAAACAGCTTAGTGACACTGCTTATCATGCTTCCCTCTTGTAATATTCCATGTCATATGAGCTCTATGTCATATATTATCAAAGTCCTTTTGTTTTCCCCCAGTTACAATTTTGTAGTAGGATCCTAAGCTGCCAGAAATTCAAAAGAAATGCAGCACTTCCTGACAAAGGGCTGGAGGCATATAGGACCAAAACATGAAGGACTCAAAAACAAAGGAGAATGAGCACGATAATAATTCAGAGTTATTATACCAAATAACTAATATCTTGAACTTGCACTGAATGATGTAGCTGGACAACCAATTGGCTAAATTCTGACTAGCAGACAGAAGCAGATAATACTGTATTCTATATTTAAAAAATGTTTTTCCCATTTAGGACCTCATAAGGTTTCATTATTTTCTATATAACTGAAATTTTGGTAGTTTGGTTACAGTTATGTGATAATTGACACGTATGGAATTTTCAGGGGAAGACATATTTTGAGATTTTTGCAATATAAAATATGTAGCTGGTTTAATTGCTTTTTAAAATAATACCAGCAGTTTATTATTACTATTTATGTTTATTTACTAAATATGTATTTCAAAATAGTATATTTTATGAAATATATAATAAAAGAATGCTTCAACATTTAGCTTGACAAGCTTTTAGGAAAACATCAGGAAAAATAGAAAAAATTACTTTTAAGTAAATATAAGGGAAATTTTATTTTTCTCTGGAATTTCTATGTAAATACCTTAACTATGCATAAAGAATGGTGAAAGGCATACTTACAACATCAGTGGTATAAAGTGGCTGACAAACTTTTTCAAGTGTGCTTAGGTATTTCACATTATCCTTTGATTCATTTGCTGCATCTGTGATTCTGCCATCTAATTCTTGCCATGTCTAGTGGGAAAAGAGTACTGTGAAAAACTTCATACATAGCAAACTATTTCTTTAATTTGCACTTACCAGAAGTAAACTTTGGTAAATTAATTTTTAAGAGGCATTGTCAAAGCAGGGCAATAAAAGTTAATTTATTGTATTTACTACACATGTAATGCATTTTATATTCATTTTTGGCCATATCCCTGAAATGTCTTGTTCTTGGTCTGGGTACATTCAGCACACCAGTAACATATCTAAGTTTTTCTCTTTTAATTCTCCTCAGCAAATCTCTCTTAGATGGAATAAAACAAACAAACAAACAGACAACAATCTTCATAGTAAAAAACAGCATAAAAAAGAAACTAATTACCTTTAGTGTTTTAGAGTGTGCAACTTTCAAAACATTAATAACAGCTTTACAGTTTTGTCCTTTGATCTGTTCAATAATAAAGTTCAATTTAGCAGACATGTATTTCCAGTCCTCCAGTTCCATCAGTGGACCTGAATCCTTAGCTTCTCTCCTTAACTGTTTGCTCTCAATCAGAGCCTGCAACCCAATAGAAAAAAAAATTTAAAAAATCAAATGTCTGCTACAGTGAATAGACAAGTCATTACAGAGGAGAAACACTCTTGAGGAAACTCACTTAAAAAGGAACAAGCTTGCAGTTACTGACACACACAGAAAAGTTTCCATTTGGAAAAGCTTTCTAAGTCTGAATTGCACTTAATCATATACTTAAACTGAAATTAGGCCAATTAACACATGTGTTCAACTGCTGTCATACGCTGGGTAAATATCAGCACATACAGATAAGTCTTTAACCAGAATCTCTGGATTGAAATGCACCAAGTGTAATTTCATTTGTCCAGAACTTCAAGAACTAGTTTAATAAAAGTATTAGTTATCAGTCATAAATTTATCCATTTGTATGTTGATAAATGTGCAGTCAGCTCTTTTTACATGTCTTTTACATTTTTATTCTTGAGAGCTAAGCACACTAAATATAGTATGCCTTGTAAGTAGAATATATCCCTGCCTACACAGGTTCATATTTTGACGAAGGATTCTCTCTTTTTCATGGAATTCTCAGACATTAATATCTTGGATATTGGATAACTGAGACCTTACCATGGAAGACTTACACAGGATAAAATATCCCCTTCTGGGCCTGATCAAAAAATCTTTCTAAGAGCAGTATTTCCCACCACAGGTGGCAGCAGAAACCTAACAGCTAATGTACACTTAGGTATGCTTCATATACATATGTGGTCCTCACCAGTGTTATTACTCCTGCAACCCTCCATTCTCTTCTTACTATTTGTGTATTAAGAGTTCAGAAACACTTATTCTTGCTTATTCTTGCTAGACTGTAAATTCCTAGGCATAAGAACTATCTACTTAATGTCACTCGTGCACAGAAGCAGAGTGCTTTTCTTAATTTGGGTGGAGATGCAGCTGAAGCCTTTGGCTAACTTCAGGCAAGTCTCATATATAATTTATAAATATTTACCCATTTTCATGCTGAATTGTTATGTTAAAACAACAACTTACATGTTCAATTTGTTTATACCATATCGTAAGTACTTCCTCTAGCTGGTGAACTGTGTCATAATTGTCAGCAGCTGCAGTTATTTTATCAAAGGTCTGGAGTTCAGAAAAATTAATGTCATCTACTTTTTTCAACTCAATTGTTCCTTCGATGCATGCTGCAGCACCTGAAAAAAAGGCAATTACAATATAGAACCAATTAAGACTTTAAAACAAATTTCCACCAGGCAAAGCAATTTAAATTTGAAAATATACATCTGCAGTCAGTGTTGTTTTGATATAACAGCAATTTACTGCACTCACCTAAAGCAGAAATATCTAATTTTAAATGCAGAGATACTCCTTAAAAGCAATGTGTCACTATTTTCTTAAGACAATAATTCATCCATGTACATATTATGCAAGTAATTGGTAATTTTATTTTTTCCTTGCAGAATCAGAAAAGTCCTTTATCTATGCACTACTGCCTTTAAATAGAAATCCTTAAGCAGAATTCCTATAGTTTGTTTTCTAAATGCAATGCTTACCTCCTAAAAATGAAATGTACTTCTTAATTGTTTCCACAAAATTCTGCTTGTCTTTTGTATCCTCTTTGGACTGACCTAAATTACCCCAATTACTTGTTTCCAGGATAGCAGGGAGAAAAACCTTTTCTACTACATCTTTAACACCAGGTAGGAGTCCATCAGTGGCATCCAAAACACCAAAGGAAACTTCCTGCAGTGCAAAAATATTACTGTTATCAAAGCAGTTATCAAAGCAGTGACTTACACTAGAAATAGTATCATAAGTTCAACATATTTTTAGAAAAGCACTCCAGTATGCCAAACAAAACTTTAATTTAAGGAGAGATCATTATATAAGACACCTACAGTGTGCCCATAAGATAGTACTTTAAATAAAAAAGGGAAGTCAATAATTATTTAATAATACAGTTTTTAAAAGTTGTCCAGTTACGCTTTTGTTGCCTCAGTTATTTATCTATCGTAGAGTTTGGAAATTTTTAAATGGTAAGAAAATGTCCTCATCCACAGTTAGGTACTAATTCATGAATTGCAAGTAGCAAAAAACTCTCTGAATGTCCTTCTCTGAAATTATTTTAGAAGCAACTATTGGACTAAATATATATTACTTTGAATCAAGTTAAATTTTTTCCTACTCTCGAAAACAAAACTTTACAAGGTCTGACTGTTTCTAATATTCCAATATTTTAAATGTCCTTCAAATAAGCAAGTATTAACATACATCATATAACAAACTTCCTAGAACATAATCTTTCCTTTCCTTATCCCTTCAGCATTTGGAATTAATTGGGAAGGTATCTGATGGAAAAGTCATATTTATGACCAATACTGAGGTCCTTGATAAAGACAGACCTTGTATCTTACTTCTAATAGCATTTTGCTCTTTCACCTTCTTTGCTCTCAAAAGGAATGGAATATTTTAATATGAAATATAAACCATGTAAATTAATAATGGATTTTCTGCTGGAAGAATTTGTAATAATACCAATTGATACAAATTAACATAAGTAAATTAATACTAATTTACATATTTAAAACTATTAGTAATCAATTTACAGTCTCTTAAGCACTGCCCAAATACTGACATATAGCTATGAACACTCACGAAGCCCACGCTTATATAAGAATTTTAAATAAATTTTAAATATTTTAAATAAATATATAAGAATAAAATCTCATGTCACATAATTTACACAGGATGAATGTGTATTTTGCATTTTATTTATCAAAACACACAAACCGGAAAGGTACAGATAAACTTTTTGTCTCCTGGTATTTGCAATGAAGTGTTCTCAGTGTTTCCCTGTAGTTCAGAGATTTTGAATACAATTAAAATATACATAGCAGCTTTAACCTCTTGAAAAACATCAAGGAGAATGAGAAATTAATGTTTATTTCATCAACAAGAATCTTGTAAGACACTAAATTCACAAGTGTTCGCTGAAGTGATACAGCTTTTTTGTTGGTTACCCAAAGTGGAGAGCAAAGTAGTTACCAGTAACTTCAGTTACATGACAACAGTGAAAAAAATAATGAAACAAAAACTAACTGCTTTTAAAGCTTTTAGTTTTTAAAATATGTGAGAGAGTACCTCATGTATAGTTTTTTCATTTATGGACGTGTCATTCTTAAAGCGAACAAAATATAAGCATAGTCCTATGATCTTGTCTGGTGTCTTCTCCAAATAAAATTGCCAAATTTTACTTCCTTTTTCAACATTTGGAATTACTCGACCACTCTCTGAAAAGGAATTTCATAGATATGACTCTTTTTAAAAATGAGGGTATTATAAAATGCTTAAAAATCCATATAAGGAAATAAAGTGGAACATATAAATCACTTATTTTCTTCTTTTGTCTGAGAATAAAAACCAGCTTAATTTGTAGTTGCAATTAATGGCACTATCAGAAAATTACACCTACATGTAATATGTATCTTACAAACCTATTTGGGTGCATTGTAATGCACTGAAAGGGTAATTTGCTCAGGCTCATGGTTCTGAAACAATTTGCTGGTGACTGAGGTACTTTATTTTCATTTATCTTACCAAAAAGACGTCAGGTCTAAGTGAGACAATAGAGACAATGAGATGGCCTCAGGTCCTCTGTGAATATATTCCTAGGCAATTTGATAGCTCAATACAAATAAGTAACAGAGCAATATTTGCAGTAATTAGTGAATCATTAGAGATTTCAGACATCACATTCTAATTCTCTACCACACATGTGAAACCTGAAAAATTTCAAGTATTTATAATAAATGCAAGTTCAGAGACAGGTTTTTATGAACTCCCTTTCTAATGAACTGCGGGCAAAACTCGTGGATGAAAAAGCCACAACCAATTCAGCATTTCAGGATAACACTTTCTAGTCTTTTTTCCAGGAAAGGTTAAAATTGAGATTTATTTTTCCCCTAAACAATTTGATTTGAAGCAAGCATTTAAAATATGAATTTGCAGCCCTCAGAGCAAAAGGTTTCAGAATTCTGAAGAGGCAAAACCAGATTTTATTCTGAGAAGTCTCAAACAAAATGAACAAAGGAATGTACTGTTACATGTGCCTGTATTATTATTGCTAAACATTTACCTATTCCTCGTGCATTTGCTTCTTGATAGAAAATTATCAATGATTTTCTTCCACCCTTGGCAAAAAAGGAATCAAAGGCATCGAACTGTTAAATCAAAGAGTGAATACGTGTTACTCAAAATATTTTTCTGTTCCTTTAAGACGTACAAAACTAATTTGACCATGCTACTGTTTAAGGTTTTGTTGGCATGCAATGTTTATCCTCAAATATTGTGAGAAGATGGGAATATCCAACTGAAGGACTCAGCCACGGTAGTGAGATCTCCTGTTTCCTCCTCATCAAAACAAAAAGGTCAGAAGTTTAACAAGCATGTGTGGAGATGCATCACCTGTTCAGGGACAAAGGATACACTTCTGGTTGTGGTATATTTCTTATGAACATGGGGTTTTTTCCCAAAAATAACCAAATAGAAATGCTGAATCAGAACAGTGATAGGAAAATGAGTGACATCCAGGTGGACAGCATTTAAAGCCACTCTTGTGACAAGACAACACTGCATGAAAATAAAAGAAGTAAAAGCAAGCCCGCTCTAGAAGTGCATTTCACTTTTGTTAACAGCACTAGTGAATAACAAAGTTAAAACAGAAAAAAATACACTAAAAAACGCACCCCCAGAACAGTGAAAGAAAAGATTTTTAAAGTGCTGAAACCACAGTGACAAAAAGCCAGAAAAAAATCACTTTTACAAGAAGCACTTCAGCTTCTGAGCAAGAGGAGGACAAACAGTAACTTTGTGGCTTTTATGATTCTACACAAGAGGTAAGATGTGAGCTGTCCCAACAGCTACTGAATTTGCAAAGAGCTGCTGCTTCAAGTCCCTGTGGTTCTCACACCCACTGTATGAATATATATGCAGGCTAACACTTTGAAGTGCAAAACCTAACCCATAGATATCAAAGATAAACGTTTATGGGAATTTATTAAATGACAGTTTGTTGAGGGACAATGTTGACACAGCCACAACAGCCTAAACTATTTATAAATAAACTGAAACTTGGAGCAAGAAAATATTCAACCACAAAAAGTTTTCAGATGGTCCTGGTGACAGCCAAGAAACCACAGCCCAACCAAACCCAAACAAAAATAAACAAACAGAAAAACCCAAACCAGAACCAAATACAAAAAACCCCAAAACCTCAAGAAACGAACATTTTTCAATTTCTCAAGTGTTGGCATTAGTCAAACTCGGTGTAGAACAGCACTTTCACATGAAATCAGAATGATTTAAAACTATGTATCTTTTAGCCAATGTGGAAAAGGGAAAATACTTAGCACACCTGTATGTTGTGTAAGAAGGAAAAAAACCCAAATGAGGCTAAGTACATTTCATGATACAAAAATATCAATAAACAAACAAAACCCAAACATATTTGGATTAAGGCTAAATTTGGCTTGTAACTGTAGAACTGAAGTTCTAAGAATTGACTTGTTTTATCAAAGGAGATATTATCTGGCTGAGTTTTAAAAGATAAGTCAAATCTCTCTTAACAGACAAAAATAACATCAATCAGATGCAACAGCAGTCAAATAACAATAATGCAATCAGAGAAGTCGAGTCACATCTTTTCACAACAGCCATACTGAGTTTTGATAATCTACTAAAAGCACAGTTTAACTCTTTCCTCCTGTTTGTTTAATCACTTCAAAACATCATGAAAGACAACGCAAAACACACAAAAATAATTAAAGCTTTCAGAGGTTCCACAGATTCAAGATCTGTACACTCTACAAACTCACTTAACCCAATCTTTTAAACATCCAAACATAAATAAAGTGCTCAAAATTGATATTGCTTAGTCAGTCTTTCAGATATTTTCGTAGTATTTAAATGGTGCAGGATTAATCTTCCTTCTTATTACTAACAACTTGCTCATTTTCAAAATGCTCCCGTAAGTTATACATTTTTGCAGAATCTGTGAAATTTCAGTGAGAACTTGCCTAACAAAAAAAGTGAACATAATTAGAACGTAATAAAGTCAGTCTGAGATGGATGAAAGTGTTTGGAACTGGTAGATGTGAAAAGAAACCCTTCAGTCAAAATAACAGCAGTATTTAGATTTTCCTTCAGGTAAGAAAGATGAAAAAGTGACAATCAAAAACTTTGGGGACAGTTACAAATCTGCCAGAAAACTTAGAGGAAAGATTTAGTCAGGTATCCTTTTAGATTGATTGTGTGCCTTAATAATCACAATTTCTGGCAGAAACAGTCAAAATAATGGATAAAACTCCCTATCAAAGGGGTAATCTGCTACATATTTTAACTAATAATTTAAATCAACAGGCATACAGAACAGACTCACCGAAGGGACGTCCAATATCATTTCTTCCACAGTTGGTAAGTCTAAGCCTAACCCAGCACTGAGAGCTTCAAATATGTACTTATATGAAGCATTAATTTTTGCTCTTCGATCTTCTCTTGCTTTTTCATATTGAATCTAAAACAAACAAACTTTCAAGCTAGAAATGCACAAAGTAATCACAATGTCCTGCTACTTAACTTGCAACTAATGCTGAAATCTACTATCTTGTTTTTACAGTTGCAAAACGTGCTAATCTTTAAAAATACCTAAATTTTCAGAGGCTAACAGAAGAACAAATTATTAAGCACATTATAAGATGTGAGTCAAATCTGAGGATATGTCAAGGAAAAACAAATATTAAGACTAGTACAGTTAGGTTTTAAGATTTTTATGTGACATTAACTGGTTTCCTTGTTCATAATCAAAATTTCAATTTATTCAATTAATATAGAAAGGTTAAAACATCAATTTAAAATAAAGCATCTAGGGTGGGTAAATATTTCCAGGAACTTAGCTGAGTATAGATTTGCTTCAATGTAAATTATTCAGTTAATATCTCCTGCTTCTGACTTCTATTTACTTTAAAATTTTAAAATATTACAAACATGGAAAAAAATACTTTCTGCCAGAAGTAATTTAGTAAAAGAACTGAGTCTAAACAAAAATAAAATAAATAGATACAAAGTTTAAACTAATGATTAAGATAAACTGAATTCAATAATCTAAGGAAAGAATCTGAAACTTATACCTTTCTTGCTTTGTAACTTTGCGTGCTTGGAACTCCACTAGGGCGGTAAAACTTAGCCACACTTTGACTTCCAAAAGAACGAGGTGAAGAGGCAAGGCTCATTAATCGTTGAGCAGTTTGAGAAGATCTGGTTATATCTTCTCCAGTGGCTGAACCTTTTTTAGCATTTTTTTGTACTCCCGCCATTCTAAAATCATAAATTTGAAAAGAGAAGATTATGTTCATAACAATCCAGACATTTCAAGTCTACCTTTTCAAGAAGACAGGAGCTTCGCAAAACTGATTTTCCAGGTGTATAAATTTAGTAGTCTCATCAAGTCCTCTTCCAGTTCTTAAAATGCCAGGCATTTATATACATTTTTATGAGAGGTTAAAAATGTCAAGATGAAGATTGAGACATTTTTTAAATACAATTTTTCATACATGTGCATTTTGTGGATTGAATGCCTCTCTATATAACAAATATATTTTAAAATAGAAATAATTTCAGTGCATATCTGATTACTGAGACATAGAAATTGCTTCAAATATGAATGACTTATTTAAATTTTAGTATCTAAAATATATACCCAAAATCAGTAACTGAGCTTACAAAAATACTTGCATACACAGAAATTGCTATCCTGCTCAGCGTATTATTACAATAAGGATCAAGATAACTATCAAGAATTCCTTAGTAGTTCATATGAGGCCTAAGGACAGCCTACAACTGCTGTAACTGTATACTCTCTTAGATACTATTAACTGATTTGGGAAATTAAAAAACCAAAGGTGAGGCTGACATGAAAAACAACACCTGAAAAGCAACACCTGGTAGTAAATTACTAGCTCCTTATTTTTGTCCATGTAATAGGTGACAAACTGGCTGATGTTCTATGGTTTTAGGCATGCAATCATCTGCTGTAGAAAGTGTGCATCTCTTTCTTGATATAAACATACTACCAACCCCCCCACCCCCCCAAAAAATAAAGTAAATTAATTATATTTATTTATTTTTCTTCATGTTTCTATGACTGGCCTGGTCATCTACAAGGTTAGCAGAGGTGCTTTCCTCTTTGATGATTCCACTCAAGTGGAATAGTTTGGATGCTAATTTCCTTGCCTTTTAAATGGTTCGCTTTTAGCTGATACTTTCCCCTAAAGCACAAGATGAAAGAGGTGGGGTTGTCGCAGCTTTCTTTAAAAAACCCACAAAGACTGTATCGTATCCTGGAATTTTCCCTGGCTCTCCAAAATCTATACGCAAGATAGCTGGCCGCTCTGGTGAGATTCTCATACTTTTCAAAAAACCTGCATGAGCTCCATCTGCCCACCGGCTGGAATAACAAACATGCTTTTAGGTCAAAAACTCCTTTCCTCCAGGATGCCCCAAACCTTCTCTACAGGACCTGTTCATTCAAGGAAAGTAGGTCTGGCTTCCAGCGTGCATCATCTTAGGAGGATTGAAGGAGAATGAGAGAGGGGGAAGGAGAAGTGGAAGATCCCCAAGAACTAAGCATTGGCAAAACAGCCTTTCTGCTCTCTTCTGAAAAGCTGAGCTGCCTTAGCGCGCACTTCAGCTTTGGCAGAGAGATGCAGGCGCACATCCTCACCGACCTGGCCGGAGCTGCGTCTCCTCACAGGGCGGGCAGCGCAGCGCCCACCGGCGCTCCCCGAAGCGGGCGGAGCGGGCAGGCTCCTGCCGGTTCGGCGGAGGGGCCGGTGCCGGTGCCGGTACCGGGAGCCCGTAACGGGTGCGGGGCGGGCTCAGGGCGGCGGCTCCAACGCCCACCCGGGAGCCCCGCCCGCGGGGCTCAGAGAGCGCTGCCGGCGCTCGCCCGCCCTGCCCGCGCACGGCCGGCCAAAATCCGACCTCCGGAATCCGAACCGTCATTCCAGCGTAAAGATCTCGTGTACCTGGGATCCGCCCGCGGCTGGTGTGGTTAAATGTGCTATGGAAGTTACTTGAGTAGCGCAGACAGCTCTGCGCTGCGAAAGTGCTTTGCTTTCGATTATAAAACGTGTGGAGTTCTAAATGTTTTTCCTACACAGTGTATTCAATCCTGGTTTTCATTCTGCTTTTTTGAGAGAATTATCCTTCACTCTTAGGCCTGAAATTATATTTTTATACTAAAGGACAGTGCATAACTCCAGAGGATGAAAAGACGACTGAAAGGGCGCCTCAGCAATGTGTATAAAATATCTAAAGGAGGGGCGTGCCAAGAGGATGTTTCAAGGCTCTTATCTGTAGTGCCAAGCAATAAGGGATAAAAGGCAGAAAGTGATGCATAGGAAGTTCCATCTGAATATGAGAAAGTTCTGCATGGGAGGGTGACTGAGCCCTGGAACAGATTGCCCAGAGAGGTTGTGGAGTGTCCCTCACTGGAGATATTAAAAAAACATTTGGACACAATCCATGTACTCTAGGATAACACTGTGTGAGCAGGGAGATTGGAACAGATCCACTGTGGTCCCGTCCAATCTGCCCAATTCTGTGACAAATGTGATTTGAAATCTTTTCCCAGCACTTGGAGGCAAAAGCAGAAATCAACCTCTGTCAATACTAAACCACAGCTGCCATGAGTGTGATAACAAGGCAAGACCAGGATTCCCAAACAGCCTGATACTGCCAGGACTTACAAAAGCAGCACCATTCCAGTGGGGCTGGGTTACCAGCTGTGTCTCCTCTGGCCGCGGTGTGGTACCCTCAGCCTCTCAGTGGCAACCGGAGGGATGCATCCTCAGGTCACCGTAGAGGATCCTCACTTCCATGCCACGTTTCAGCTAAGTAATGCCACAGGTAGGGGAGCTCCTTTCCTTCAGTCCTTTTGTTGTCCTGAACCCTGGCTCGTTACCCGTGCAGTATCAATTCACACATGGACGCAAGATATTTCTATTTTTTATTCTAGTTTGCTCCAAGTAGGGGCCTGGGTGGTAAGACACAAAATGCTGGCTCCCCAATAATTAAATCTTTACAGTATTTATAAATTTCAACAAGGGCCTCAGCATTCATTGATTACAAATGACATAACTTTTCTATTAATTAGTGCTCAACCCTGTATTTGCTAGTTGTATCTCTCACTTCTAATGCTAATTAGTCCACGGGTGCAATTCTTCTTTCCATTTCAGTCTGGGATCCATTTTGACTAGGTGGAAAATGAGTCAGTGGTCACGATTTTCCATTGCTGGGATTACCTTTTTCCCACTTATTGCTCAGTTTTGCTTACTTCACTCTTGGTGGCTCTCGTCCAGAGAGCGCATTCATTTTAGGATTGTTTTCTCTTTTCCTTAAAACAGAAGATTAGCCAAGTAGACAGCGTTCACAACGTAATTGCTAAATTATAACTGTGCAAATATAGCTATTGGCTAACAGAAAAAAAAATTTTTTTGAGAAGTTGGATTCAGAGCTTGAGGGGCTCTGTGTGTTAGGGATGAACTAGCAGACTTCGATCTGCTCCTACAGCTCCGTAGCACTCCTCGGGCATCCTTGAGACGGAGCGGCGCGGGCGGGGGTTGGGTTGGGCGGGGCGGGGCGGGGCGCCGCCTTCCCGCCTCCTCCTCCTCCTCTTCCTCTTCCTCCTCCTCCTGCTCCCCGCCTTCCTCTTTCGACATGGCGGCCCCCGCGGAACTCAGCGGGCTCACGGACGAGGCCGCCTACGCCGCCTGCTCGGAGCCGGATGCCAGCACCAAGGTGGGGTGGGTGGCGGTGACGGGCGCGCCCCGGGGCCGCGGCCCCCGCTGCTCCCCGGTGCCCTCACGGCGCCTCACCGGGCGGACGTGCCGGCCATGGGGGCGGGAATGGGGCCGGAGCAGTGCAGTGCAGTGCAGTGCAGTGTGGCCGGGCACGGGGCAGCCCTGGCGGCCTGTCCTGCCGGGCAGCCCGGCGGGTTTCGGGGTCCTGGAAGGTTTGGACGGGCCGGTCCGGGCCGGGCCGGTCCCTGAGAGCCCCTGAAGCCCGCGGGGCGCGCTCGGCCGGGCCCGCGCCTGTCCTGGCTCTGAGCGAGCGCTGCGGGGCGCTTCGGCCAATCCCTGCCAGAGCGGCTCATAAAAACCCGTCAAAATGCCCCAAACCTTTCTGCTTTTTATTAGAAGAGCCTTGTAATTGCATATTTTTGGGCCTTTTTTCCCGTTACTTCTGTCAACTGTTCTACCACTCACTTTTTATCCACTTGGTCGCTCACAAGCCTCTTGGTATATAGTTACTCTGGGGCTTCAAGAAAATACCCTTACAGAGTTGCAGGCCGGTTTTGCTGCCAAGATACAATTAAGTTTGACAGAAGTTCAATACCTGTGTCATGAAATAATAAAAATAATGAGCTCAGGAATCTAGGAGGCTCAATATTGAATATTCATGTGCCTGTTGTGCTTGTGTGTAAAGTTGTTCATACATGCTATAGTCCTATAAAAGAATAATAAATATAAGGATACTCTTTTTGATGCATCTGATAATACATACTGAATGACACTACTCATGGGATTGTTTATTTTTGTTCTAAAGATTTGTCACACAAATCTGTATGTATAGAATCAGGACAAAAGGTTTTATTTAGACTTAATGTAGTTCTCTGTTACTTCTGAACCTGCTAGTTTTAGAGTCATTACTAACTGGCATCTTTTTAATACCCATAATTCAATTCTGGCTGATGTATAAAGAATAAACCCATTTTCCCCACAGGATTTCATATTTCAGCAGACAATGTTAAGAGTAAAGGATCCTAAGAAGTCATTGGATTTTTATACAAGGATACTTGGAATGACGTGAGTAGAATTTGTGTGCCATGCTAAGGTTGGTTTTTTCTTCTGTTCTTCTGAAAATAATTATTTTGTTTGGATGCAATTATACTAATTGGTCTGACTACATAAACAATGCTGGCCCATCAGCTGATGCTTAGTTGGATGGTCTGGCAGTAAGCTGTAGGTGCCTCAGCTGAAAATGAAGTAATATTTGCCTTGGCTAGAAATTTCTTTTTTTCTTAAATAGGTCACTAATTATCAGGGTACAGCTTGCTTACTTCCTCTTCACTGAGCCTACAGCTCACTGGTAACTTTTATGACTGTGCTTATAATGAGGAGTCATTGTTTAAAATCTTGAAATTCGTTTTTTTCTGCTAGTTCTCAGAGATGGCTTATGACTGCTTCCAGTCACATGAGAACAAGGCAATAAAGGGTGAAGACAAAGTCCAGCTTCAGTGTTTTGGAGAAGGCTTTTGAGAGGCAGATGCCATGCAGTAACTTAACGTTTATGCTGCAGCTTTTTGTGCATTCTTAGCATTTGAGTTATTTCAAAACAAAATACAATGTTTTTAAACATCTTGAAATGACTCCAGACTAAAGTAAAATAAATCACTTCCACTGTAGTGAAAACGTGTGAAAATAAAAATTAAATACCTTGTAAAAAAGAAATTAATTTCGCATGTCTACTTGTTCCAGTTAAATGTCCTACATAAAAACGTATGCTTCATGTATTTTCAACTGATTAAATTGTCACATCTGAAAGGGATTTTATCATTTTTGCTAGCTGTTGAAACTGTAAATGCATTTCATCTAAAGGTATGTTTGCTGTGTTCTTAAACTTTGTCTGCTACCAAAGAGCTCTCTAGGATGAGTGAGATTCAAAGCTGATCTTTTTATTCCTTGGTGGTTCAAGGTTTTCCTGTGAAAACACAGTCAAGTAACAGAGTAATAACCTGAAGATGCAAGCCTTTGTACTGACTTCTATTCAGTTACTGGTAGTTTGGTTTTTACACATCTGATTCTTTAAAGTTTGGTAGGTTTGTTATGTGTTCTGGAGTATTTTTATTTGATACTTTAAAATGTAGCTATTTTAAGGTGTGGATTATAGAAGAGCAAAAATTCATGGAAATAATTTTTCCATAGGGGAAGCATCTTGCTTTATTTGCCAGCTACTGACTACCCTTTTAAGTTACTATTTCAAAATAATTGTCGCCATTTAGACTGCTTCAAAAATTTGACTTTCCTACTATGAAGTTCTCACTCTATTTCCTGGGGTATGAAGATAAAAACGATATCCCGAAAGATAAAGCTGAGAGAACGCCTTGGACCTTCTCTAGAAAAGCTACACTTGAACTGACACAGTAAGTATTTACATAAAGAGAGATGACACTTAGCTAACAGTGATTAAACAGTATTGGATAAGTGTAAATCCCATTAGATTGAATGAAGAATTTAATCATTGCTGTGGATATATCTTCACTGCCATACATCCTTACAACATATCTGAGTTTCAGATACTTGGAAAGGTTAATCTCCCTCTTTCAGAGCTCTTTCAAGCTGCTAGGTGAACATTAATATGAAACAGTACTTGCAATATTTTATATGCATGCCATCTGGGTAAGTAATTTAGAGAAACCCAACATGGCTAGACCTTTCTTTGGATCCCCAAAGCGTCCTAATAATGGGTAACTGTTGCTTTTGGAGTCTAGTCTAAAGGGGTATTAAGTCAGAACATATGCTTCCTGTAAACAGGACAATTTGGTTAATGCTACTAATCATTATAATTGTGCAGAAACAATCTTCCAAATGCTGTCTTACTTAACTCCAGGACCTGCTAGCCTCACTTGTTCTCCAGTGATGGGTAGATAAACTGATTTGTGCAGCAAAACCTTCTCTCTAATCTGAATGAGACAGGAGTATTTCTGACTCATTCAAATGTAGACCCTAAATAATAGTGAAAGAATGGGAACATGATTGGATTAGCCCCAAGACCATCCCTTGGATCCCATGACTAGGGAAGATCTTTGTAGTTTAATGATTTCAGCCAACTGTTGAAATTCTCTGGTTTCTTAGGAGAAACAACTTACCCTTCCCAAGGAAACGGAACATTTAGGATTTGTTAATTTTAATGCTTTTCTTCAATATGTAATAATTACTTCT